GCTATCATGATGTTCCCAACAGCATCGAAGGCTCTGTCTCATGCAGTGGGAACTAATCTCCTCCTGCAGCATCAGGATCATGACAGCAAAGTTCAACTCAAAAGGAAGGAAAGTCACAATCATACAATGCTACGCTACGCACCTACAAATAATGTAGATAAAGAGAAGAAGGAGGAATTCTACAGAAAACTGCAATCAACACTAGACAAGACCCCATCCCAGTTGGCGATATCAAAATTCTAATGGGACAAACTGGGAGCGGACAACACAGGAAGAGAACTAACCATCGGTCGAGAAGCGCTCCGTGAGGTGATGGACGAGAATGGAGAACTGTTTGCAGAATCCTGTGCATTCAACGATTTGGTGATTGGAGATACTGTGTTAAAGCACAAGGATATCCACAAAGCAACATGGATTTGACCAGACACCAGGACACAATAAAAATCACATCGACTTTATCTCAATCTCAAGAAAGTGGAGATGCACCCAGCCTGCTTGACACAAGGTCAAGAAGAGGAGCAGATGTAGGTTCACGCCACTCACTATCTAGTACAAGGAACCTTCCAAATCAAGTTGAAAGCCATCAAAGAAGTCGGTGATAGACAACCACAGTTCAAGTTCAACACCCAGAACAGAAACTGAAGGACGAAACTACAAAGGAAATCTTCACGGCAGCCATCAAGGCAAAATGGGAGATATCGAGCAACATCCCTGAAGAAACCTGTGTGGATGAGCACTGGAACTCTTTGAAAGCTATGTGGAAGGAAACCTGCATAACCGTATCAGGAAGGAAGAAGAGGCGCCAAGACAAGGAATGGATCTCGACGGACACATGGAAGCTGATAGAGGAGGGAGAGGAGGATGGTGAAGCAGAAGATGAACCAGTGCAAGGATGCACAACGAGAAGAGGAACTGAGTACAATGTATAAAACACTGGATAAAGAAATGAAGAAGAGTGCGCGCAAAGACAAAAGACACTTCTTTGACACACTGGCAAGTGAAGCAGAACAGGCTGCTGGTAAGAGAGACCTGACAACATTGTATCAAATAACCAGGTTACTATCCGGGAGAGAAGAGATCAACTCAGATGAAACCAATTAAAGATTTGAATTTCGCCGATGATGATTTGTCTAATGTTGCACGAGGCTGAAGATCTACAGGCAAAACCTAACAAGTTGATAGAACAGGCAGTGAAGGAAGACGGGACTTCCTTCAGGTAAACGTAGAGGAGGTACAGGTGATGAAGATATACAACCAACAACAAGCACCAATCACCCTAAAACGGGAGAAACCTAAATGAAATTGTCTCTTTCACCTACACCTATCTAGGCAGGGTAGCATTGTTTCAACTACAGACGGCACAGGCTCAGATGAGGATGTCAAAACCAGGATCGGGAAGACAGCAAGACATGCCTTTCTGTATTAATCTGAAGTAATCGGTGTGGAGATCTACTGCACTGCACTCAGCACAAAGCGTGAACAATATCCGGATTTTCGACACTAATTCAGTCAAGTTAGTGCTGCTATATGGTTCAGAAACTTCTTGCGTCACGTAAAGCACTTCCAACAAACTACAGACATTGATTAACAGCTGCCGCCTACGCTCACTCAATGCTGAAGATCAGATGGCCAGAATACTGAGAATTAGCAAGAAGGAACTCTGGCTGGCTAGCAACGAACCAACCAACAACCCATCGCCCAACAAATATGCAGAAGAAAGTGGAGATAGAATGCATCCGACATACACTGAGAAGACCGATTGGGGACATCACGCGCTAGGCCAAGCCGTCGAGTGAAATCCAGAGTGGAATCGACGAGTTGGGCATCCCAGTTGAGGGTGACATGAAGGAGATCATGTAAAGAAGAAATGAGAGCTTGTGGGGAGTCGTGGCGCCAGGTTGAAAAGACTGCAGAGAACAGAGTGCAATGGGGACGTGCTACTGAAGCCCTATATTCCACTAGGAACCGATGGGAAAGTTAATAACAATAAATATTGGCTGCTAAATAATGATGAGTAACCATGTCAATATCGAAATTATTTATTTATTGAATAAAAGCAAGGTTTGTGTTCAGATGCTTTATGAAGTCTGTTTTCTGGACACAAAATATATCCATGCCAAGCAACAAGTGTTTTAACAACACATGGGTGTAATCATAAGAAATAGATAAAATTATTTTGAACTTAGTTTATAAATTTTTCTACTAATATATTATTTTATCATTAACATACGATCAGTTAACCTAGGTGAAGCGGAAAATCGTGTTACTTACGGATAAGATAACTTTTATGTTGTATGTAGCTAATCACTGTACGTTATTAGTTGATAGTTCACATGTGTAGTTGCATCCGTTAGCTATTTTTCTAAGGGAAGAAATAATCAGTTTTCTACTTTCCATTGAACACATTGGTTGGTCAGTAGTAGCTGATTGGTTGCACCTCAAAATGGTATAAGCCATGTTTACCAAGCTATTAACCATATATTTTGTGTTACAGCTTGTGATACAGTTCGGTTACCAAAGGAACTACTAACCCGAGACCCATTACTTGAAAGTCTGATGATCAACTCAATAGGCCACTGCTCCACTAACTGGCTGAGTAGATTGTGCATATGAGAGTTTTTGGGATGTATGTGAAACCGGTCATCTATTTAATTGAAAATCAGCTGGAAAAAAAGAAGTGCCCTAATAAGTGTAAGTTTCTTTACTTTATAAACTAACTCATCAGAAGTATAAGGGAGAAAAGCTAAAGTGAGGTAGTTCATGGTTCCATGATTTATATTCAGACAAGAATACTACAGATTTTTTGCCAATAACATAGTTTTAACCTGAATGGGGAAGCCTAAGTGTACTAAGTTTCTACCATTATCATTCCATAGAAACCCTACAACTTTTGATGGAGAATCTGAAACCAGAATTGTGTAACAACTTTGTTTACTCAGTTACCCTTCATCCAACACTAATCATTCCGTACATGAAAAATAAGTGTCTATCTGTCGTCTACATTCCTGAGCATAAATAACTTTTTTCATTGAGAAAACAATAAGTAACTATCTGCTAGTTTATTTTTCCTCTCAGCTTACTAGTGAACTTCCCACTTATCATCATACAAGATGACAAACCATATGTTCATGTTTATGACTAACTTTCAGTTGGTTATCAAATTTTCTGAATGCGTAAATTTTACCGATCATATTTATCTATACACTTTATGTGTGACAAACAGTAAAAGAGGATGAAAGGAGTTGAAATTTATTGTTTCCCCCTAATGTAAATATAGTTGCGTGTCTGCAGATCATTAGAATAGGGTTTATCAAGTCGTTTTAACAAGCATTGGAAAAATTACCGCTCTTATCAATATTGATTAGTTGCATGAATACGTAGTAAGTTTTAAATTATTATTTTATGTTCTAGAGGTTCTTAATGTAGTCACCTAATATTTAAACCTTGTTTTCTTTACAACAAAGCTCACTACCATATTTCCTTTAAATACTTAGGACTATTGATAATTATTAAAGAAATAGGCTTTTACAGTGCTGCGACGTGGGAACCACATCAGTTGACTTGAAACTATGATGAAGGATTCTAAATCAGTCGAAATGGCTGACATACTTAGAAGTCTTGTAATAAAAATAAGTGCGGTTTGCTTAGAAGTAATCAAGTTTTGAAACATTACTTCATTCAAGTTAGTCATTACTGAAGTGGGAAATGGAGCTATCGAATTCAGATTATTTTAGTAGGGGCACTGACTAAGGCATTCACCAACCTGAACCTAACTTACCAGTTTTGACTACATGTTTTAAACATTTACCTCACATTTTAATTTTCTTTTCTTTCAATCCATTTTGCTTTCCCATAATAGTTTCACCTCTCTTGATCTCTTTTGGCTGACTGATATTCGTATTTGTTGCTTCACCTAATCTGCACTCAGTTATTTTTAAGTGAAATCACATTATATTTATTCACTCACTCATTTGCCTCCATGATCTTTAATCTCCTATATATTTTTAACTGATTTGATGATTGATGAAATGCTATCCGCACTTATAATGATGCAGTTTACGATTCCGCTTATTGTAAAGTTGAAAGAAACACGAGCAAATTTTTGAGAAGAATAGGAATTTTAATCTGGAGGTAGTATTCATCACGGACTGAAATCAGTTGGCCAACCATTGAAAATCTGGTAGCACTGAGCAGATTTTTTGTCCTAGTATGAAACTCCTCAGCAGTACACACTCACGGAACGGCCAGGGATCGAACTCAGGACCTTCGGGTTTCAAGCAAACAACTTTGTTGTTGATACTAGGTGACGATTAAAGGTGAAATGAAAATCTGGACCACGACGGGATTCAAACCAGGAACCAGCGGTCCAGATGAACAATGTCGAGGTCAGGCGAATGGTAGTAGGAGAGAGTCAAGTCATTTAGTGAGGTTGTGAAATTTCATCGACTGAGATGGCTTGGAAATGTGCTATGCATGTCAAGCCACCGCCTACCCCCACGTGCCATACTAGGGGCAGTTGGATTAGGTTAGAAGAGAGTTCGGAGTGACCAGACTAAGACGTGACAACAGTCCACGAAGTCTATTGCTGTTGATCTGAGCCGTTTTAGGATATGTAGACTGTCTGGCTGGGGTCTCCGAGACGATAAGAATCAGTGTTTGAAGACTGTTGGTGGTATGGCCGAAAATTGGTCACAATGGCGCAGATGTATTCACTCCTTGATGTCTTCTAAAGCTTGAATATTTGCACTAACCTCTATCTTCAAACTGCTTATTCTCTCACATAACTTTGTTTGCTCTGATACCACTACCTTTTTATCCACCTGTTCTTCGTGTACAACTGTAAAATGTGTCAGCTTGAGCTGAGGCACTTGTGTGCGATGTTCTACGTTGGCTTTTTCTGTCTTACATCTACGGAAATGTCATAGATTGGTTCAAATATTTTCCAAATGGCTTAACGTGATCACTGCATGAATGGCTCGTGTTATCTTTACAAGACTTACTTTAGGAGTAATAGGAACTTGAATAGTTTTGGCTACAAGTCCATTCCAATCGAATCCTTCAACCATGCGTGATTTCGCACTTCTGTTATCCCTGATTTTCGAGCTCCAAGTCTTTGTGCTGGAGCATCTCTGCAAGAAATTAAAATTACTCTTCAATAAGATCATTGTTATTCAAGTTAATCACTGTAAACAAAAGACTTACGTCATATGTTTCTCAATCATGTTTGTCAAATCAAGAAGGACCAAGGCTATCAAGTGGGAATAATGGTGTCCTTAGTTCCAAATTACTTTATGTTATTTTACAACAGATGTATTTTTTGAATGTAACCATCCAACAGAATACTAAGGAAAGCTGTATTTTGGAAACTTTGATTAATATCCACTGAAAATTCCTAAAACTGATGATGCGTAATGTAAGAAAAAGAAAGCAGTTTCTATTCAAAGGAGAACGAAGAATTTAAATTATTTTCACTTCCTTTCAAACAATCTAATTGTATCTGATCAAGGTATATCTAGCTTCAAAATTTATGTATTTTCAAAATGAAGTGGTTTTGGAGCAAAAAAGTAGCCGGAAAATCATTCTATTCTAGACAAACTGAAAAATAAATTGGTCAAATGATGTCACTGCGCTTATTGTTTAATTCTTATTTTGTGCAATAAATTTATGTATACTTGGCGTATGCGGGTGATCTTCAGAAGTATAAAAACCTAATAAATCTTTTTCGATAATCAGAGATGTAACTAACGTCCAGGTTAATCCTTTAAATAAGTGAATCAAATTGCAATGGATTGTAATTTGGTTAAATTAAAAAATTATGATAGGAAATTACTCATTTGTACAATACCGCCAGCATGATTCATTCTACAACTAGTTTTAAGGGGTGACTTTAAAGGCCACTCTGGCAGGAGTCGAAATGACCAATGAGGCTTCTTCATGCAGGCTGGAAAGGCAGATTATCATGAAATATACAAGTCTAATTGGTCACTTCAGTTGTTGCTAGAGTGGCCTTTAAAGTCACTCATTCTAAGTGGTTTCTTTTTTTCAAAAGTTAAGCTATTCACAAAGTAAAACTGGATGAATGCAGATAACGTGATAAGAAATAATGTAGCTTATACTCAATTTACCTGCAGAGTTTTTTTATAAGGCACTGTGCATTTCGTGTGATACATTTTGGAAATTCAATCGCATTAATTCCTTTCAGTATAATATTATATGTCCTCATTGGGTCTGATGATGTAAATGGAGGCCTAAAATTAGGACATGAGTATTAATTAGTCTATATTCTTACAAAGCCATATTTGTCGGTAACATCAAGAAAGAATAATGAGTCATTTCTTAAGTCAGAATAACAGTAGTACGAAATTTTTAGAAAGCATCAACTCTTAGACGTGTAATATCAATCAACAAGTTGGTTAACTGTACCTGATGAAACTCCTCGAAACCAAAAGTGAGTCATTTCCTTTTCATATGTCTTGTATGGATAATTTAACAGGTTATAAGTGTTGCATTAATTCACACAACAAAGTATGGAAACGGAAACGATTTAACAACTGGGTTTCTTTTGACTTCCCATTCAAAAAGTCATCATACATTTACTTTGTATTCAGTACCGGTTAAATGAAATGTATTAGCACTTAAGGAAGATCTTTAACTCTATTGCACTTTAAACTTTTCATAACCTACTTAGAAAAGTGAATAAAGGCTCTTATTTTCTGTTAGACACATATAAATTTGTAGCCATCAGTTAAGCTGGCACTGAATTGGTACTTCTTGATATTTACCGCAAGCGTGGCTTAGGCACTGCTGTTCACACAAAACTGAGTTTTTCAAAAGGATCAGTTAAAAAAAGTGAGACTGTAAATTCACGGCTTATAACTTCCGAAACCTCAGATTTTTTAAACATCGAGTTGTGCCAAACTGTGGTTCATTCTTTTCTGGGCAAATGGTGTTAAGTATTTTTAAGAAACTTTGTCATTTACTGTCAAAGAAACATCATTTAAGGAGATTTGGCTCCTGTATTTACATTGTTCTATATATTTTATCGTCAATCAACGCTGTATATATATATATATATATATATATATATATATATATATATATATGTATATATATATATTCGTTTCGTTCATCAACAAGAATATTTAGCCTGTTCGATTATGAGACTTGTAAAAATCCGTCAGATGAAATATACTAAACTTAATTCCTTCTCTTTGACTGACAGGATCAGGAAGACAGTTTACATGAACTGCTGTCGTAAAGTTGCAAATTATGCTAACGGGAAAGCGATCCGTAAGTCTGAATTTCAAGGATTCTGTGAATAGCTATACGTCCACTCATATTTGACTTTTCCTGTTAATTTCTCAAATGTATTTATTGAGTTTCACTTACCATCACCAGTAACACCTTTTATTTTTTTCTCACTGAAATATTATTATTTATGATTGACTTGTTTTTAGCACATAAAGTAGCAAAGTGAAAATTCTTTCTTTTCTTCATCCCCTTTATTATCAGCATTTGCTAAACAGATCATAGAATTTATTAAAAAATGAAACATACAGTGATATCTGGTTCCTTCGTTCTCATCTACAAATTATGTATTCAATTTACTAAGTAATGTTTATTTTTCACATGTCCGGTAATGCTACTCACAGCCTTGATTATTCACTTATTTTAAAGCTTCTCTGTTACCTTTGGACAAAAACAGGAATCGTATTTCCATGTACTGGAACAGTTATTGAACTTCAAGTATAAATCATCACAAAGTTTTTCATGTGATAAGTTGGCTTTGCAATAATGCCTCTCATTTGTTATTAGCTGAGTGTACTACCATGCATGTTTGTGATTATTTGTTTGGCATACCTTGCTTTTAGTCACATGGTCCCTCGATTTTTACTACCCTTTTCACTATCGCTTGATTCATTTATGCTTAAAGTGTGTGTAAACAGAACGGAGAATAAGGAGGAAATCACATTAGTGTATAAGTGTAACTGTCATTATAAGAGTGAATTCAGGGCTACAGGAAATAGTGACATTAATTTCACATTTATGTTACAATTACTTTTATCGCCTACCGGCTAAAGCAAACATTGATTGCCTTATGTTGAATGAAGTCATCTCGTTAACAAATAAACTGCACACAGATCAAATGCAGACCATCTAGACAGTAATCTGTTTGAAAGCGAATTCATTTATCACCTAACAGAGAGTAAAGTAGCTTGAGAAAGATGATAGGGGAAACAGAAGTGCAGCCTTAATTATCTGTGCTAACTCTCTAGCCATTCAGTGACCTTCCTTCTATAGGAAATACACAATTGTTCGTCTAGGAAATAATTCATATTTTTATATTTCAGTTACAACTTTTCTGTGTATGTAATAGTTTTACTGCGCTCAGTATAAGAAAATATTTATATCAGCAAACTGTTCAATAAATTAATCGCTGCTTGACTTGGTTGTAAGTGTCTCTTATAAATCGACCTAACTGAGACACTAACTGCAAAGTTGTGAGAAGTCATCCTTTAGTGATTATGACATTGTTTTGGTTTATCATCCAAGTAATATTATTCTACTATTTACCTAGCCAAAATAGTTTTTAACGACAGTACTGATCATTTTCGCTTATAATCTTTGGCAAAAAGCAGAATGATTCTCCGACTTACGTTCCAGTCAACAATTCAAACATCAAAATACCAAGTGCCCAAAAATCCACAGTGAAATCATGTCCTTTATTTAAAATAACTTCAGGTGCTACGTATTCTGGAGTGCCACAGAATGTCCACGTTTTGTTACCATATCCAATTCGTTTAGCAAAGCCAAAATCAGTCTGAAAAAAGTTGAAATAATCAACACATTAGTGAATGCAAATAGTTTTCCTAATAAAAATCTTGTTACGTAGTTTCATAGTATTTGGACTTTAAAACGTTTAGAATTTGTTTATCGGTTACCGCCGCACTGGTTATTGGATTAGTTAACTACAAAATACAGATATACATTGTGGCTGAATGATAGCCTGAATAGCCGTTGAATTTAAACTAATAGTTTACTACTTATCAAAATACTGGTATATATACTGACTGATGAAACCCAGCTTCTGATAGAACAGTTATTTCATTTTAGCCACATTGTAGTGTACCTGATCAGTATATATATATATATATATATATATATATATATATATATATATATATCCTTGTTTTAATGTGCCATGTACCTAAGAGAACATTTCACAGCTAAAATTGATTTTAAGTATGCATTCAGAATGTGACAGAATAACCAGCAGTCTTTGCCAAAGAACATATTAATTATCTTGCTACTACCTATGTAACCATAAGTAGTCAGTTGTTTCTCATTTTGGTCCTCAGAATAAACACTCAGCTTAATGTAGTCAAATCGACTGATAGGTCTTCATATCTCATCTGTCGAAATATATGTTAGATGACTACCTATTTGATTGTACATGGATGACTCTTAAAATGAGATATTCACTGGGTGGATTACTGAGTTAGTTTTTTTGAATTATACGTCAAGGTTCACTTTATTGTTTCAATCTAAGTAGTTAGGGTACTTAGTTTCCCACTATAGTGGACATTAGGTTACTTCACTAAATTTTTTATTAAATAAACCTCATAACTTGAAAATCTTGCTTGAAATAAAATAAATCGTAATATTTTCCACTGCACCACTAGGCAGTTGTGTTTAGCTGATAATCAATCAGATGCAGAAAAATTTATGAATATAGTCATTTGAGAATTTATTTTCGATATCTTTTTTAATAATAATAATAGTGGTTTTATTCTGATGAATATTTCGGGAATACTGTACAGAAATTTAAGCATATCATAAAATATCAACCCAGACAGGAAACAGCTTGTATATATATATACATATATACAGAAAAATGAAATAAGCATAAATTTCGCATAAAATATACGAGTGTTCACTTCATCTATAACGTCCTTGAAAATGCGGAGTTAACTTGGGTAGACTCATATTTAGAATTAGGTTCGTAATACATTAAAGTAGCAAGCTGGATAATCTTTAATTGGTTTTCTCTGAAAAATAAAAGTTGATTAGTTATTTCACTTCTGACACATTCTTCCTCGCACAGTATGCAACCCAAATACGGTATTGTAGAGTTTTAAATTTAGTAGTACGTACATAAAGTTTATATAATTGCTCCTGGCCTTGACTGACGACCAACACGCAGAGAGCTTTCGGAAAAAGAGGATGCTAATCATCTGAAAAAATGACTTCTGCAGATGTTTTCATAAGCAAAGATGTTTGTCCACAACAGTTAAAATTAGAAGGTTTAGAGGTACACCACTAATTCTGCTGACAATCCTCAAAGTTCTATGGAATATGGTATAGTCTTTTCTAAGCAGTCTAGGAAAGAATAAAGGGGTGCAGTAGAGGGGATTGGGCAAGGTACAGGAGTTTATAAAATACAAAAGAATAGGTCAAGTTACACCAGATGCTCTAAGCTTCCTAATATAGAAATACAGGCACAAGATTCTTTTGGGAATCAGTAAGATATAAGAGGATCAGGAAAGGTCTGAAGAACAACCAGCCGAGATAAATCATACTTGTGACATTCTCTAATGCACAACCATTAACAGAACAGGATCCATGAGACTTAAGCAATTAACGTAAGTTATTTTCACGTCTGAAACTAAAGTTTTTAGTCTAACATTTTGAAGAACTAAGCATAATACCATTCACGGATGACCACTGTCCAATAATAGATAAGTCGTTCAGTTAGAAACAATCTGTTAAAGGGGAGACAGGTGTAGAAAGTTTTAGGTCATTAACATATTTGACAAAACTAGTATTGGCTGAAGATGGTAAGTCATTTAGGAAGAAAGAAAGAAGACTTGGGAGAAAGAATGGCACCTTGGGGGAAGATCAGCCTTAAAATCTGCGGAAAAATTAACCAAAAACTTTGTTACTTTCGGAATAACACTAGGAAATGCTCACCTTTGATATGAATATAAACAAGAAATTCTATTCGAAACAACTTCCAGTAGATGATACTGTTTCACTATGTGAAATTTCAAATAATATAATACAGAATTATCTAAAACTTCATCTGCATTCTTTTCTATTCATTTTTGATACTGTGGAACTAAAAATTGATGAAAACCGTTCTTTTTACTAATGTGACCACGTGAATATGAAGGCGGAGTCTTCGATGCATTTTCCGAATTGTTGCCTAAGAATTCAACCACTGCTATGCATTCGCAACAGATATGAGGGTTGTCATTAGGTCACTATATGTCATCTTTATTTGTAGCAAATTTAATTGCATTAACTTCTGGTTTAGCTTCATTATACTGGAAGGAATCTTTCAAATAAAACTGAAACATTTGGGAAATGATGGGTAAAATATTTATCTATTTTTGGCGTTTTGATTTAGTTTGCTTAAGGTGTGCTAACAAAATCACTTGCTTTACTGAATATAGAAACTGAATACAGGTTTGTATACTTGGTAGCGTTTCATGCCTGGTGTGTGAGAATAACAATAATACTTGTATGTTCCTTATTCGGGAAAACGAACTGTCATATATGGCTGAGATTCTAAATTTTTATCTCATAAGCTTGAAACAAGCTTAGACCTTGTTCACTGAAGATAAGTGTAACAAGTAATTCTTCACCTTTCGGTTTCAACTCTGACTAAAATTCTCTTCTAAAAGACACTTAATGCATTTTAAAAGTATGTGATGCGATTGATATGACATCTACAAAAGTCATAAAACAGTACGTTTTTAGTTAATAAATATACCGTACACCAGATGCATAAATGTGAAATGTAGGTAGCTAGAAAGATAACCTTAAATATAAGTCCATTTCGTTAAACGAAGGAAAAGTGATTAATTTCTTGGCTAACTGCCTCATAGAGATTCTGCTAATTCTTAAGATATTTTTCATGCTTGAGTGATATCTACCGGAGAAACATTGAAAACCTAAGACCATTAGGTGACTGTTTCGTTTTACTTTTGGACTTCTCATGATAGAAACTACCTTTATCTAGTTTTCCTAGTGTATGAACTATTTATGCAGCTATACTTCCTGCATCAAAGTGTTTTGCGATGATTAGTAAGAAAATTAGTAAATATGGCTTTACCTTACATTAAAACGGCCAAAAAGCATGTTACTGTCTTGTTGAGTTTGTGTCTTTAACCAAGTTTCAGTTCACTATCTGTTGAAAAATAGCTTCTGTGTTCCCTTTCGCTAAAGTAACACACATGAAACAGTTGGAGCTATAGCAAGCTTTATGAACAAAATAAACGTGTTTCAAGACAAAAGTAATTTGTTGGCATATGCAAAGCAATACGCGGTGACGTTTAACATTCTCGGATGAATATAAGTGTAAAACATGGGCACTGTCGTAGGGTGTAACTCCACGTTAGACTTGTTTATTTGATATATAACTCACAGCAATACAGTATTATTTACTTGATGACGTTTCGAGTATAAATTATTGCTCATAACCATATCAATATAATCACACCACTTTCAACATCTGATTTTCATAATCTTGTCACCTCATGTTCTATGCTTTTAGTGCTGTAAAATGAACAAGAAGAATTAAATATGTTAGATTCCAGGATAAATCATGGGATAGACGGTGGTTTGGAAACTACTGTCTACAGGAAATCAACGCCTTCTAACAGATATCTAGACTTCCAGTCATTTAATTCAGTATCAGTTAAGGCGGGTTTAATCAAATGTCTGAATAAAGGAGCTAGAAAACTCAGTAGTCAGTGCAAGGACTTAAACAAGGAACTGAAGCATATAAAAGAAGGATCACTAGTTAATTAACCGCAATATATTAGGGAACTCTTAAGAACACTTAGGAAACGGAATAATAACGATAATACGAATGCGAATGCATATAAATTTACAAACCCACTCAGAGATAAGGTTTGTTGGCTTGGGGATCCAGTCGATCCAATTCACCAAAAATAATGTAACCTACCAAATTCCATGTAATAAATGAGAGGTCAAGTACATAGGTCAAACTAGCTGATAAGGGTCAATTAGAATAGATGAACCTATGAATTAATCCAAACATAGAATGACAGATCCCAATGAGATCAATAATCTAGATGAAAACTGCATTACCATGCATGCATGAACACACAACCACACAATAGGATGGAACAAAACCACTGTACTTAAGTCCAATATAATTAGGTGGAGTGATTGATTACAGAATCTTTGTTCATCGAATCAACACCCAATATAAGTAATAGAAATTACCCAACACCTATACCAGAGATATGGGATATTTTACTGCCAGTAAAAACAGAGAATATGAGGTGATAGGACTATAAATAATGGTTGTTGAAAGTAGTGTGGTTATATTGATATGATAATGAGCAATAGTTGGTGCTCGAAAAGTCACCAGGTAAATAATACTATATCATGGTGTGTTATATCATAGAAAGAAAACTAACATGGTATTCTTGGTTGAATTCCTGTTTACCTTTAATTTATTTCAAACAGTGAGTTTGTCTGGGATTTTTATAAAAAATTGAGATATTGTGGCATGAAAGTGAATTCTACACTACAATTTGTTTCAAAATATGTCATGAGAGATGCGTGTTTTTCCATTTATGAAGTAACTTCTTCAGCATTGCGTTTTCAAGCCAACACTAGGAAAATAAACCTCAAAATTGCTAATGAATAAGTCTGTGGAATTCACTGTATGTGAAAAATGAAGAGTGAAAGAGAAAAAAGTCCCGCAGAACTCCATGAGTTTATTCTGTGTCGTAGTTTTCAGTCACTTACAAACCATAATACGCAAATATCAAACTGAATTTTGACATTAATAAAGAAGTCAGTTAGCTCATGAGATAATGTTCAAGGTTATATTCATCACAAAGTAAAATCCTTAGAGAACCATTGAAAACCTGGCAGCACTGAACGGCCGTTTTGTCGTAGTACTGGACTGCTCAACAGTGGGCACCCAGTGCTCCACCACGGATTAATTTAAGACCTTCAAGAGTCGTGGTGAACATGTTACCGTTAAGCTTCTAAATCAGAGTCCAGTATCTTACATTTTCCTGCTTCTGCCAATTTGCGATATAATTCAACCATCATACAATGCCATCAGTGAGTACTTGTCCTCATACCTGACTTAGTTGACTATACAGGTCATGGCTTCTCACTACAGCTTCGGGAAATTACAAAATAAACACGTTCTGGTACATTGAATTTAATCGGTAAGCTCCGAATATAGTCTAATTAGGATGCAATGATATTTTGTAAATATCCTAAATCACAAAACAACTAATCTATCAAAGAAAATTCTTTTTCTGGAGTTTTCATCGAAAGTTCTAGTTACATCGTTGGTACGAGTAGTAACAAGCATTTGCTTGAGGGTGAACAAATAGATCATCTGTTTGAATCTAGTAAGCGTATGATTATCTCATAAATAAAGAACCAAAACTTACAAAGGTATCATAAGTTTAATTCTGTAGAAAACTGAAAATTACTTCGAGCTGAAGATTCAGACAAGAAGAGCGTGGTAAAACGATGAAAGATGTTGAAAGTAAATTAGTAAGATATGAGAAGCTTAACAGCTACTGCTTTTTAAGTACACTGATTCACTTGCTCTCAACAACCTGACTATAATAATATTGAAGTGACTTTAATTGTTTTATCTTACAACTTTTCTTTGAGTGATTTTAGCATTTTCGCTAGAAAGCAGCTGTTAGAAAGGATCTAGTTTCAGAAAGGCTGTAGATGCGTCTGTCATTATTTTGAGTAAATAGCATTATTTGCATTGTTGTATGAAGGCATGATGTGATTTTTTAAACTTATTTTCGCACTGCACAATCTCCTAATTTACCTTATTTTTAAATCATGGTTTAAATATTTTACTTTTTGTATTTCTAAGGTTCCTGATCAAAAATAAGAAGAAATTATTACAGTTTTGGAAGGAATATTTAACTGTTATTTGCCTTCTAAAATAGCTACCTCAGGTATCGACGTAAAGCTTAAGTCTAGGGTAGAAATACAGCCGATGTTTTGCTTTCATGTTTGTGAAAACTGGTACAGAAATTATGTGTGAAGAGACGACCATAAACATTTGTATCACTTTAGCCAATCAATAATACGCTTCACTGGTTTTTAAAACTTCAGAGGGATGTAGCAGTAAATATATTTCCAGGTTAGTGGAAAAGGATCATAATTTTCATACATTATTATCCGTTCTTTTTGTATTTGCAAAGAATATATCAATAGCGGTATAAGTATCAAAATAATGGTCATCTAAGATGTCGTGTCTTTTTTGTGCTTCTGAATAGATTTGAAGGCAAGATGACAAAACAGGAGATAAGTTCGGCTTATGAGGATGCAATAGTATAGGATCTCACTAAGCATATCTCGTTTATCGGATTTTACGATCATTGAGAATGCTCAAAGGAAATGAGAGTCAAGTTAACAAATTTAAGTGTCAAACATTACACTAAGGACGCAATTTACCCCTAAAAATTGTATCGAATTGTACACAAACGACAGAATCAAACTGTTTCTGACTTTAAGCAAGATAATAACACATGAGGCTGCCCAGTTTCTAAAGTGGTGATAATACCATTCCAATAAGCATATAAATAAGTTTATACAAATAACAACCTACATTTATTGTTCTATCATTTAGTCCAGTGAATATACATTAAATTTAACAACTGTTCAGTGAAAATACTTGAATATACTTGACAATCAGAATGTTGTTCAGGGCTTCGATGGAAAATAAGTTGTTCTTGATGGCATTAGTGCAGAGTATGCCATTAAAGAACTTTATGCAGGTTGTGTGAATCCATTAAGTTGAGCTTTCCTCACATTTGCTGTTGTTTTTAACACACCAAGATAGAGAAATATTTTTTCGAATATTACTATTTATTGAAACACTTGTTATTCTCCGTTGTTTTGTTGGATCGAGCTGTTCGACCTCTGTTGGCATATGGGCTCCTATGCGGATGCCTCGATATTGCCTGAATGTTAATTATGATGATTTGGTTGGTTGTGTCTAGCAAAGGAATCCAGGACGCGCGTTTCGTCCTACCCAGGACTCGTCAACTAGATGTATCTGCACCCCAGTCATGTTGTTCCCACTGGACTTGAACCTGGTACCCATCACTTCAAACGGCAAAGCGTTATCCACTATGCCACGGAGGAGCGAGAACCAATAAATAAATGTCAATAAATAGTAATAGCTACCACCATTTATACAAGAAGTGGCTATCGTCCCTCCGTGGCATAATGGATAACGCCTTGGCGTTTGAAGCGATGGGCAAGGAGTTCGAGTCTCAGTGGAAACAACATGACTGGGGTGCAGGTACATCCAACTGACGAGTCCCGAATAGGACGAAACGCGCATCGCGAATTCTTCTGCTAACCGCAACCAACCAGAGCTTTTCGAATAAGTTGAAAATTCTTTATGGTTTATACCACAATGAAAAGCAAAGATATTGTTTGCACTAGAAATTCTCTAGTGGATAATAAATCAACTTGGTAAATAAATATTCTATTTGTTACTTTTTAAGCCCATCTCAGATATTCTAACTTTAGTCTTCAATAAAAGGGAATATAAATAAAATAGATTTTGTCAGTGCTCCGAAGTCAACAATACATCATATTATAATGCCTGTAATGCAGTTATATAAATCAGTTCGGTAGATTACTTTCTATGGTAAATAAAGGAAAGGGTATAAAGAATTGAAACCAGTTTCATTTTCAATTCCAAACTAACAGTGGCTTATAAAAAAATTCGAGAAACCATAACCTAATGGAATAATTTCCGAAATCTGGTTAAGAACAATTTTAACTAATTTATTCTGAAAAGCCTACTGAATAATTTAATCGAGTTTCAGATTCAATAACTATTATTACTCATCGCTTCATGTAGCCCACCGAATATGTAGGAATTTGTATGAAATATTCCAGAGTATCGAGATAAAAGATTCATATCTGTAAGAATCTAGTTTATACAGTAGTTTGTGCAAGCTATCGTGTAAAAACTAAGTTTGGAAGAATATCTGTCCGTGTTAATTCCAGAATTTCCTGTACACTTGAGGCAAAAACGGATTTGCATTGACCACCTCTTCATTGAGTAAACTAACCTGAGAAACCATGTGAAATCATATTTTAATTTTTTCATAGATTACTTGTCAATGATAAAAACCTATAAAATCAAAAGATATATAATATTGCATCACAAGTATGATATTCAGCAGAACTCCGATAAAAATTCATAATTGTGATCAACAAAATCTCGAGAAATGTCCATGCCGCTGTATTGTTGAAAACTTTTGGTGTAATTGTAAATGTTTATAAAGCATACATCTAACTTTCAATGTTTCTAAGGTCACTATAGAACAGTGAATAAGCTTTACTTCTAATTTAAAGCATTCACTAGTATTTCGATCAGAGCCACAATTATTTACCCTATAGAAGACAGTAAGTACACTCTCTTACTCTTTTGCGTTGTTCAAGGGGATGTTTCAAGACTAGTCATTAACACCAAAGTCTAAGTTTTTCACTCTCTACACCAATATGAGTCATATATCAACCTTCCCCTTCTTTCTCCATGATCTAAATTGTAGGACTTCTAAATGAGATGGATTCAAGTATACCATCTTCATAAGGAAGTCGTAAGCTGGAAGTGCTATTACGAAAATGCAACATGTGGTGGTGAATGTCTGTAGTCAGTGTTTTATCTAAGCTGCAACAAAATGACCAAAATATTATTGGACCAACCTCAGTTGCCAGATCAATATTTTCCTAGCACTTTAAATTGCTCTGCACATCTCGCTTTGAACTATGTTTCACACCAACAATGTTTATGGTACACATCTGTTCTTCAAGTCTTGTTACTCTTATAGAGTATGAGTGTCTAACGACGAAGAGATTATCCATACTAGATTTTAATTACAATAATAACCTAAGGAATATCGATGGTAATGCCAGAGCCATTCATACTTATATGTTGAACTGATCCTTATTGCTTGATGCATTTAATCCGTTATCAATGAAAAACTATGATAGCATACCACATCGATCTTAAAGTATATTCTTTCTCAGTTATTGTAATGACGTAAGTAGCTACCATTCATCTTGAATCCAGTAGAGAGAACAGTTACCTTACATACACGTATCATAACAAGCATTAGGTACAAAAAGGGTTTAGGTATATTTGCTCAAAACGTATTCACTAAGTTCACAACAATGGCCAGTAATAGGCTGTGGTTATTGTAAGTTTGTTCTGAAGTCAAAACCTCTTTTCTTCTATCTACGAAATAGAAAAACTAACAAAAGGAGTCATCGGAAACCTCCGTAGTTCCACATTGTTAACGAAGTACGACGATAGACGGGGGAGGAGGGAGAGAGAAGTGGTGAATATTTGAAAATAATTGGTGAAAACTAACCATTTTACAGAAGCCTTGATCATCCAATAATAGATTCTCAGGTTTCAAGTCACGATATATAATCCCTTTCCTATGTAAATAATTTAGCGCTTCCACAACACAAGCTGAATAAAATCTTGCTGTAGCATCGTCAAACGCCGTTGAATTTCGTAAAAGAGTCCATAGTTCACCGCCAAGACAAACTTCTAGTAGGAGATACAGGTAACGTTGATCTTTATATGTGCGGTATAACCTGTGAAATGCATAAAACGAAAAATGTTATTCCTAAATAAAAAATTTAAAGTTGTATAGTCACTAATCGGTAAATGGAAATAAAAACTACATCTGATTTTTAGAATGCTGTTTCACAATTTCCTAAGCTCAAGCAATCTAGCCCGAATTATAACTGACGGTTAACCTTTGAGTTTAATGCAGTGACTATCTTCTTATCGGGTTCCTGGATTTGTTCACCTGAAATGTAGAAATTTTAACATTAGGGATGACATACTTCTGCATTTAATTTCCGTTTGTGTGTCAAAAAACTCCTGTAAGCTTGGATGGAGCTAAACGAAACTTGTGAAATGAATTCATCTCATTTTGCAAACAGTGTTCTGCCCACTGTTTTTTGGATGTTGATGAAAGTTTTTTTCTGAAATAGCTCCAAATCAATTGTTTTGCGCATTTGTATTTTTGTGAAAATATATCTAACTACCTTAAATATTTGAATCACGTGCAGTGACTATTGTTACCTGGACACATTTTGCCCACTCAAGCCAAGTCAACCAGGTAGTGTCGGAAACCTTCACACACTAATATGGTTCATAGCTTTATACATAAGTTCAGTTAGGCTTCCCTTTTTTATAGGCTCAAAATAAGGACCTTACATAAAGATGCCTGAAAACTAATGAAAGATATGCAACAATATTTTTAGTAGTCTTACAAATCTTACAAATCTGTGAAATAATATCCTATGTCGAATTTACAGCGTGAACGCGGTTACATTTAGTCTTCGTTAAAAGTATTTATTTGTTCTAGAAGTGAATCACAGTCAACTTATTTACTGTTACTGTATAAACGTGTCTTCAGGAGTTTTGAGTAAACCCTGGATAATGTCTTATTCACTTCTATTATCTGACTACAGCTAATCAGTACATTCTTTTCATTTTGTCGCATTTACCTTTATTTGCTTCACAAGTCTGACCTTATGATAAAAATCCCTGCCTGTCTTCGCATTCTGCAGTGTCTTAATTAAATCAGTTATCCGAAAGTATTATCATTATCATTTTTCCCTTGGGTTCCTTGTAGAACATAGGGCTTCAGTAGCACGTCCCCATTGCACTCTGTTCTCTGCAGTCTTTTCAACCTGGCGCCACGACTCCCCACAAGCTCTCATTTCTTCTTTACATGATCTCCTTCATGTCACCCTCAACTGGGATGCCCAACTCGTCGATTCCACTCTGGATTTCACTCGACGGCTTGGCCTAGCGCGTGATGTCCCCAATCGGTCTTCTCAGTGTATGTCGGATGCATTCTATCTCCACTTTCTTCTGCATATTTGTTGGGCGATGGGTTGTTGGTTGGTTCGTTGCTAGCCAGCCAGAGTTCCTTCTTGCTAATTCTCAGTATTCTGGCCATCTGATCTTCAGCATTGAGTGAGCGTAGGCGGCAGCTGTTAATCAATGTCTGTAGTTTGTTGGAAGTGCTTTACGTGACGCAAGAAGTTTCTGAACCATATAGCAGCACTAACTTGACTGAATTAGTGTCGAAAATCCGGATATTGTTCACGCTTTGTGCTGAGTGCAGTGCAGTAGATCTCCACACCGATTACTTCAGATTAATACAGAAAGGCATGTCTTGCTGTCTTCCCGATCCTGGTTTTGACATCCTCATCTGAGCCTGTGCCGTCTGTAGTTGAAACAATGCTACCCTGCCTAGATAGGTGTAGGTGAAAGAGACAATTTCATTTAGGTTTCTCCCGTTTTAGGGTGATTGGTGCTTGTTGTTGGTTGTATATCTTCATCACCTGTACCTCCTCTACGTTTACCTGAAGGAAGTCCCGTCTTCCTTCACTGCCTGTTCTATCAACTTGTTAGGTTTTGCCTGTAGATCTTCAGCCTCGTGCAACATTAGACAAATCATCATCGATGAAATCCAAATCTTCTTGAGTCATTTCATCTATCCAGCCTGCGTATGCCCTCTTTTCACTCCTCACAGTTTCTTGCATGATCCAGTCCAGTTGACCACAATCAGGAAGATCATTGGTGACAGTAGGCGGTAACCTTGTCTTACCTTTGTCTTCACTCCAAAAGCATCACTGAGCTTTCCAGTGTGGATCACTTGGCATGTGGCGTTTTCACATAGCTGTTGAATGAGGTGGATAAAGATTTGCGGCACTAAAACGATAATGTTGAAGCAGCTGCCTGCAATTTTACTTCTCGGTTGACGCTGTTGAAGGCCCTGTCAACGTTCATGAAGTTGAGGTAGAGTTGAACTGACTGCCATTCTATACTCTGTTCTATGATTAGGCGTAGCGTAGCGTTGCAATTTGACCCGCACATGATTTGTTCATCCTGAAGCCAACCTGTTCCGGATCCGAAAGAATAGATGGTGCCTTAATAGCCTAAAGAAATTTGTTAGTGTCTACAATTAGAAGCAGTGGTTCACTTCATGTTTGGGTGGGCTGTTTTGATAAGAATACGTCAAACTGCTTCAGTGCGGTGGGCCGGTCCCAAAGTAATTATACAGTAATTTGAAGAAAATCTGGATACCCGCAAGATTCAAATCGGCAGTCTGATATATGTGTTACGTTGTTAGCTTGTAGACCAATATACCAACACTTAATTCAGTTTTAGGAAATTAGATAATCAGTGACCTCTGGTAACTCCCCGATATAAGGGAATGAAACATATCATTTATTTTTAAAGTTAGAGGCCTTGTATTAATCAACTATTTGATAAAACTAACACATGTTTTTACATAGCACTTATATGCCTAATACCAATGGAAGCTAAATACATACATCAAATTTCTTAAAATAAAATTTAAAAGCTGTCTAACTCCAAAAAGTATTCTTCGTAAAACTTGAAAAACACATTTACTTCTGATATATTTATCTACTCAGAAAACATTTTGGAGATTACGAAACTAAGGAAATAAATCGTTTAACATTATCTTATCAAGCTAGCCTTCATGATTCATGTTCATTGTTATCCTTGAGATGTTTCTTAGTATGTTCCAAAGATAATAAACTTCAAGATTTCCAAAAACCTTAGATAAAAGGCACTTTATTAAAGTCCTAAAAGCCTAACATCCTATATCGCAATAACCACAAAGAAACTGCTTTCCAAGAGTGCTAAGAATATTAGATGCTTATATGTTTAAGTCAGCTTATTAAGCATTTATTATTCTGGAAACAACTGTTTCCTTGAAATTGAAAAGGATATTTCAGATTCGCCTTTGCTACACTATAAATGTTTTGATAAGTGATACTCTTATCCATCAGATCCGCAGTAAATGTATTTCCGATAAACGGAAATGAAACGGAAAGAATCATATTCTTCCACACTATCATCTTGATTAAACAAAAGCATATATAAAAGTCAGTTGATATGTCAATCCCAAGAGTATAATAAAATATCTTATGATAATTTCGTAAATGTTGATATAACATATGTGAATCACTTTGTTCAGCCTTAATAAACCTAGCAATCCTTATTCCTCGAAAACTGCTAAAGAGTAAATTTAAGAATTTATTAGTCCTTCAGAAATACCAAGTGTCAATTCTCAGAAGTTAATATGATGTTGTTATCAGATGAAATGACAAAACTAACAGCATTCTATAAGAAGACGACCCTCAGTTAACCTCACTAATTACTAAAATCAGTAACGTTATCTAAGAGTACATTGACTCTGCTCATCATAGAAACTATAGTGAAGATACAGAGTTGTCAAATATTGGTAGTTCACTTGCAACAATGAAAGTTATCAGTGTGGAGAATAAGCCTGAAAGGCTTTTATTGCTACTACTCAAGAACCTGTGGATGTTCACATACTTTGCAGTTATCTGAGCTGCTATATATGATCATCGATACAGATTTTTGGTGTTTTTTGCCTCAGTTAGAATACTGATGAATACGTTGTATGCTGGTTTGCAAATAACAAGCAACCACGTGTTGTGATAGACACAGAGGTGTACTGCCTTCGTACAATGATGTGATTTTCCTAGATTTCACACTGTCGTCATTGCCACAAATACCATATAAATCACCGCTCATCAACATCTTCGTAAAGCAACCGTACGCGCGTACATGAGTCAATATCTAAATATCATCTTAGTAGTATTTTGTGACACAAGAGATAAATATTTTTGAATTCTTTCAGTCGTCAGTGCATATATATATATATATATATATATATATATGGTTTCTAAGTAATTCTCTACAATAACGCAAATGTCCAACGAATGAATTATGGGCAGATCTGTAAACTTTTTGTTCCTACAGTAATCTAGTATTCACACCTGGCAGCTTTTACATAAGTATACTTTATAGAATTTCTTTGTTAGCAGAGTCATTATTTAGCTAATCATATGAATATATGTAGCATAGGATGAAATACTGAGCATTGCTTGATATCAGTTTGTTGGATGAATAGTGTTTGTTTACCAATTTTATACACGCCACACTTCCTCAACAACACATTTTTATTATTTAACACTATTTCTAATGATGGACTTATATTGTTTTTCAACCACCTATCCTGCCAATCTTGTTTATTTTCTTGTATTGTACTGTGGTTGTTTTTCCGATTCATTATTCAAAGTTGAACGACAAACTGAATTTGTGTTACTGAATTTGGACAGTTAATCAAAAGAATGAATGATGAAAAAAACTTTCAGTTAACTGTTTACAAGACATCAGTAAAACAAACTATATACATTAATTAGTTTGTAAAAACAAATTTTCGAGATTAATTTAAATCTAGAGGAACAGAGAATAAACAGTAAATTTAACGCTAATTAGGGTGATGAGTTTGAAAGTAGTTTTCCTTTCTTTTCTACACTGAATAACGTGCTGCTAATAAAAATCTCTTCCAAACAAATCTGAAGAAGACATGGTTTCGTGCATATATCATTTACACTGGTGAGTTAGCGGTTAATGTTTATGCAAAAACGACTCCAAATTTTGCATATACTTTTAAGAACGCATTTATCGGATGAAATCACTTTCTTCCAACTGGATTTCTTTAATCACAGGTTACCATCAGCTCGTTTCAGATAGTGAACCACACACCCTTAATAATTATTAACATATTCCCAGGCTGATCACTTTTCAAAAACCTGTATAATGTTTTGATGATTTTTCTAGTCAGCCATTGTGATGAAGTGCCTTGTTTGACCTACGGAAAGTGAAGACAGTTTGAAACAACGTCTTCCAGTAGAATTTGGTTCTTTTAATCCTATTTCACTATTCACCAAGCTTTCTGACGCTTGAACCTATTTTCTTTAAAGCCGTTTTCAAATATTATACTGCTGAGATGTTTGCACTGGGATTAATTTCTTTTAGATGCTGAGATCTAAGTTATATAAATGTTATAAACTGAATAGATAGTTCACATATGTGATGACTACTTATAGGTATAGAAACAGGATGAAAAACTCCTTCTTAAGCACTAAAAATCACAAAACCCCTAGGTAAAGTGACAACAGGTACTTAACATTCATTGCGAAGTATTTGGCTATCCTTATGAAGAAGTGCTTCTTAAAGTCAATGAAAAACTATATATATATATATATATATATATATATATATATATATATATATATATTGGAGAGAGAAAGCTTAATGGGATATAATTGTTAACAGGAGTTACACCATAATTAGTTTATAGTAAAAAAGATATATCAGATAGGGGTTTTGGGTTAGTTTTCAAATTCAGCAAGTAGTAGGTACTAAAGACTATCACAATGAACGTACCAATGCATCATAAATATCTACTTCATAATGGGTTCAATTTATAATTACTGAAGCATCAGTGAATAACTGGTATAAAGAACTCTTTGATGTTGCCACTATGAATTTGACCTAACCAATCTACATCTTATGGCCTGAACTTCCAAGTATGGATTCACTAATTTTCACCTCTATCCAAACCTTTATGAAAAGTTGGGTAGGTGAATACCACGCATCAAACATTACTGGGAATCTTATTTTAGATTAAAAAAAATGTTCGGACAAACAATAGTCAACAAGTAGTAGTAACTGTAAAAGGTCAAACAACAGCCATTCTGTAACTCAAAAACACTGAACAAACTGGAACTTAAAAATATTATCCTCATCTACAAAATACAGTAATATCCTCAAAGAAATCCTAATGGTTACTGACTTACTTTACAATAAAGTCATGATTGGCTTCCATAAGTATATTTTTCTCATTTAAAACATGTTCTTGTTGCTTTGTTTCAACAATATAATGCTTCTTCAATCTCTTCAATGCAAAACATTGTCTTTTATCCTTGTTTAAATAAACCTATTACAAATAAACGAAGCATCCGATGTAGTTTTTGAAAATACTAATAATTTTAGATCTGGTTAAAACAATATCCAGGTGAGAACAGAGATATGCTTCAGTTGTGAGTCATACTTTACCTAGCCATAAACTTTCAACCGGTTTATGAAATAGAGTTTAAATTTTATACAGTCAGATATAACCTCACACATCATAAGTGGTTGTGAAATAAGAGTTATTGAAGAATATTTTTTGTCAAAGTTCATGTAAACAAAGAACCTTATTTCTAGCATGTGTTAAAGAAATGAGGAATCCCATTATGTAATACATTGTGGTAAGCAATTTACAGCGCTGTATAAAGATTATACAATAATGACGTTTGGTTTAGAAACCCCTTTGGATAAGACAAAGTCACCTATTTCGATGTAATTAGGCGGTAGGACTCTTAGTGACATGTTTAAAAACCGATCATAAATAGACATATTCACCCTTTTTAAATTTCTAGGTTTCGCAGATTTTGAGGAATTTTCATTTATTTACCTCCTACCGTCGTTTGTTTTTAAAGCCAATCATATTGTTGACTTTCTACCTCACCCCCCCCCCTTGTTCGTTAAGACGAAGTGTGGCAATTTGAATTAGTGCAATTCCTTGCTATGTCCCACTATGATACACCGCCCTGACCCAATTGGTCAAGTGATTGTTCGTGCAGGTTTCATTTATAACATACTTTTACAAGGTCAGTTTATTATGTCATAATTTTCCCAGTTAATATGTTCAGAAAGATCTGTGGAATCATAAAAATAAACTGTATCGTATCATGAAACTTCGTTAACATGTCAGACAAAACTCCAAAACTTACCAGCTGTACACGCCCAAAACCCCCTATTCCAATCGTTGAGACCACTGTGAATTCAGTAAGTTTAATATCAGAAAACTGCTTTTCTCTTTGGCTGAAAATAGGAACAAAGAAGAGCAACTATTAGGTTACTGACAACTTCTACCATTTCAAATTAATGAATCATTGTTAGCTGTCTTAAAAGAACAATAAAATGTAACTGAGTCGTAAGGCTTACACTGTTTTTACTTTCTGCTTATTCGAATTACATTGTGCATTAAGTGATGAAGTGGTATAATTTATATGACTTCAATAACCAAACAAACAGATGTATGGAAGTTCCAGTTGCTTACAGGTTGCAGGTATCATTTTTAAGTGGGATAAAAAGCAGGTTGCTGCTACAAAAGGATACATTTTCTGATATCAAGTTTCATGTCATGACAGCGAATCAAAATGCAAAATATTTTTTTCTCTACGTCTCTGTTACTGAAAAGAATAATGGCTATCAACCCGATAACTGGATAATAAGACGACCTTTAGGTTTTGTTTTTAATTTCGTATGAATCATCTCATTACATTGAATTTCCAGTTAGTCGCGGAAATGTGATGATTTTAGTATTGACAGGCTGTAAAAGTGTTGCAAATGTCTCTTATTGGTTTTCTAGATTCTCTCTTAACCTGCCTTTGGATACTATTCAAACAAAAACATATTTTTCATGGGATTTTTTAAACCACCTTATTTTTGTTCACCTGATCGTACTGGACCGTTTAAATCCTTTGTATATTCATCCACAATTTAATCACTATTCAAAGATCAACACTGCAACTGACCTAACTTCTTTCAGTATCATTCTTGGGAATTTTATCGATGTCGTTCCGTTCATTCTTACTTTTTACATGGCATTGTATACGAAAACAAGAATTCCTGCAAAAAAATTGAACGTCCTAGAAAGAAACTTAACTGATGCAGAAAAATACAAACCACTGAGTGGCGAAATGTATCTCTTCCTAGGTCATTCTCATAGATTTTTCAGTGGGCATGTGATGAGGTCACTGAGTGTCAACATGAAATTTTTATCCAATTATCTGTAATTTCTACCAAGTTGTCATTTTAAAACCCTCTGATTGTGGATGATTTCACGATACTAAGCGTCAAACAATTCAATTCCAAAAGAATAGGCAGCATTTGTGCTTGCTGGTGGTTAATTTTTTCTTGTTTTACTTGAAGTACCAAAGGTGATCAACTCTGTTTAGTGAGGACAGTACTACTTATCCGCATGATGCGCTCACTAGTGTTTCACAGCTTAGGAAGAAGCAAGCTACTTTCACTTGGTAGTAAGTTAATTGAACTTTTTCGACAATTGGCTATGAATAGTTAAGAAGTAGCTATGGAATACACACTAGGTCGTAGGACGAAATATGGAAAAGGGAAGCGTCGCTGTTTTTAGTGATATCATTTCCAAACAGTAGAATACGAACCTTTCATTAGATGTTTTGGTGAAATTTTGTTTTTATTGAAAGCTAACAGATGGGATAGCAATGTGAAATACTGTGAATGGTAGAAACTGGGGCAAGATTTTTCGTCTGAAAAACAAAGTTATCAAGTTGAATAGTTCAAAATAATAAAAGAAATTGATTGCATTCAAAAGATAAAGTCAGTACTGTTCAAACGGGTATCAGCTGGGAAGAAGAACTAGTATTTGTGACAGTTGGAAAAAAGTCTTTGAGGGCTAAATTTATTTACATCCAAGCCTGTTGCTAATCACTGGGTTGGAAAAAGCTCTTTCAAAAGTAAAATTAAGGTTTTAAAACATGAATTACTATGGCTTCTAGGGTTTAAAGGAGTCTGCATTTCACATATGAAAATAAAGTTGTTATTCTTAAGACTTTTCAAATAGTTGAAGTCAATCAGATGTTCAGAAATGTCACAGGATGTTTTACTTTTTCCTTGTAAAACTGAATTCTCTCGGGATACTTTTATGAAACGTCCCTACCTGCTGTAAGAAAATATTACACTTATCTGCTATTTTATAGTCTGAAGGTTATACTACTGGAAAGCTGACTCTATGTAATGATTTTTGTCTGTTAGTTAGAAAGGCCAGTATTTGGAATTAATACTCAGTGTTGCGTTCAGATATTAAAGAATCAAAGAAAAATAAGTCAAGAACATATTTAACCACCAGTAATGTCAGGAAAGTTTAATGAAAAAGTATTTTATAAGAAATTCGTTTACACATACTCATAACTCTCTGGCATTTGATGGACTTCACGTAATATGCAGAAGCAGATGATTGAACTTCTGTAAATTTCCTGTACGCTACAGATCCCAAGTATGTGTCTGACAGCTGACAAACAGGAAACAGTGCATCAGTTCCGAGAAAGCCCATTTGGCTAGTAGTTAAGTATAATTTAAAAGTGGAATATACGTAGAAGTGTTGGAATAACCTGTTCAGTCCTTGCCAAGATATTGTCAACATTATGCGACTACGGCTTACGGATCCCTTTCAGTAAAGATCCTTAACACGTTCAACTACTGCATTTTCAGCAACTTAATTTTGTGCCAGTCCCAACACACCTGTTTTATCCTCCTACATTTAACAAATACAATGTCCTTAGTGTTAGTTTCCTCTTAAATTCTGTATATTATTTCTAAACAATTAAAGCTTTACCATTTTACTGAATAAGTTGGCTAGCCTAAGATATTGCTTTCGGGATTTTACTGTAGTACTGACTTGAAAAATTTCAGTGCAAATATAGAACTCAGTGTCTGTTAATTATGCAGATACACTCTATATATGTCATTCAATTGACAGCGGTGTGCTTAGGACAAAACACTTGAAAACCATAATGAAGAAAAGTGATTCAGTACTTAACAATAAAATAATAAATATGGAGTGAAAAAGCAAGTTTCTGTTGACTGAACACTTTTGAAAAAAAGTAGTAAGAGTTAAGAATTTTGGTACTTCAACAATATTTTCATAAATATAAGGTAAGTAGTTGCAAAGCTGTAAGCTTTTTACGACTAGTTCATAAAAATTGTTGACTTAGTGTTACTAATGTTTAGAAAGAGATTTAGTTAAGATTCAGGTTGTGTACCTTTCAGATTTACAGTAGTTACAATACAAATATGGTTAACACTGCCATCAGTTGATAGCAATAACAATATTAGTTACCGGTATGTTTTATATTTGCATAAAGTACCTGCAAAACAAGCTGATTTGCGCTTTCACAGTAAACTCTAAGACAACCTATTCTAAGGACCCTGGTTCTTGTTTTTAATAACGAAATAGAGAAAACTTTTGAATAATCCGCGCATTGAATATGTGATAAAATATCTACACCTTATCTTTTGTTTGAATTTACTTATTCTCTTGTAACTGCATACTGTATATAAGATTTGACGAAATATTCATTACTTCACCCAAGTTTCTCTCCCATTACATACACCCACACGTGTTCAGTAAGTAAATGGAAATCAGATTGTAACAACTCCAAAATCGGCACCTAGTAGAGTAGAAGATGCTGACTGTTCTTAGTGCATTTGATAATACAAAACCAGTTTCGTTTTACATTCAGTCATATCGCAGTATCAATACTAGTCTGCCAAACCACGGCTATCTCATATAGTCCAAATTGTAATTAATATGATGCTTCCCACCTCTCTAATTCACTTAGATTTGTATTGGGATTAAAAGTCCTGACTAGACAGCCAGTGTGAGTACGATCAAGCTATAGTAACGCATCACGAATTCCTATGACAGTCAAGAAAAATCTTTGGTGATCGAATTGAAATAGGAAAAAATCTGGTCAGCAGTCGAATCTCGTATCTCATTTGGTAGAGTATTGCACCGGAAACCTAGTGGTCGCTGGTTCTAATCCGGTAGCAGTACAAATTTTCATTTCACATCCAATCATCCCTCAGTATCATAACCAGTTTATCAAAAGGCGTACACATACATACAGATGAATATCACTACAAACTAATCTGATGATTTAAAAGAATTAATGAAGGACTTACTTTATAGTTGGTTTTTCGTCGGGATAGCTACGTTCAAAACTGACCAGATCTTTGATGAGTAGATTATATGAACTGCAATATATTAACAGAAAACAAAGCAAGTTCTTCTTCATTCACAAAAATTTACATCTCATACAAGTGACAGATTACTAGTATTGTAAGAGGTTTGCGATATCTACTCTGTTTCTGTATGATCTCTTGGAACTAGTAACTTAATTCAGTCTACATTAAGTAGATATTTCTCCAGTGTTTCAAGAAGTAATTTTCAAATAAATTACTCTATATATTTGACACAGTGAGCAATGTTTCCTGGCAAATTACGCACATCAGGCAGAAGTGAATTAAGATAACTGTACTTATTTAATGACACAAAGTAATGAAGTAGTGATTTCACAGTTGTTTGTTCATAATCCTTATAGAATAACAGTGAAATCATGATGAGAATTTCATAATCATATCCATATGTAATATTCTTGACTAACAAGGTTTGCAATCAGCTGATCTAATACAGCTTAACATTTCTATTCTATTTTATCGCAAAAATACGTCTTCATTTTCATTTGGTACTCTTTTTATTTGTGTATTAACATCTGTGATATTTCTTTACTTACCTTGAACATAAAAATAAGAAAATTTAAGGTTTTTGTTTCGAATCTCATTTAGTATATTCTTTTTTCAAGAGGACTGCTTAACTTTGAGTATGTTCCTTGAGAGGCTTAAAGATTGCTGGTTGTAAATAAGAAACATATAAAGAAATAATTCCTTCCCTAAAACCAGAACAGACTATTCATAAGTAATGCGCAAAGCAATAGACATTTTAACTGTGATTGAATATCACAATTCCAACTGAATTCTTAGAAGTAAATTAAATTGTTTGGATTTTTGATAATTAGAAGATTTCATATTATGCATAATGTGACTTACTCTCTATCCAACATTAAACAATCTACTCCACGTGGTGGCATTGCAATTATGTTAGCTGTACGAACATCCTCACTTGAACAAAGTAAAAAAAAATGAGATGTACGAAAAGTGGTTTTTCCACATATTATACTTGCATGTGTTTCACAAATTACAAATTCTTCTCAAAACTATAGAAATAATGAAAAACTTGTTTACATATTTGCAAAGTGTGAAAATTTATTTTCTCTTCATTTTTATTATCTAGAAAACCAGGTGAATTAAACTTGCTTTGGATGACAGGAAACCAAACACACTGATACCTTTTTAATCACAATCGTAGCTGATTCTCAAAGTTTTGAGTGCTTTCTAGAGTAATACTGATACCTGTCATTGATATTTGAGTAGTAAAAGGGCTTTTTATGTTTGAAAAAATACCCTTCCAAAGAAGTAAAACTCTTCCTTGAATTTAGTTATGAAGTATATTTCGCTGTTCACCATTTCTCAATATTTTTCAGTCAATAATAAAACTTAGCTTTGAATTTCAGGCAGGTAATCATTTATGTGTGTTGAGATGAAATCTCAGCTATTTGAACTGTGAACATTTATGCAGCAAATCATACTGACAATACACTTTTCGGAGTATGTTAGCAGAAATGATAGAATGTCTTGTTCCATATGTATTACATTTTAAGACACGTTTCTAGTGACACTTTGCAGGTAAATTGTCAGGACATTCTGGGAGTTGTAAAAGCTGGATTCAACTTCACATTTCGTTAACTACAGACTTTCATGTCACATCAAATTACTGGCAAGTAGTTCGAAAACAATCATCCGCTATTAGTGTATTGCAGTATTTGGACTTCCTGTTTGAGGAATGCAAATCTGGCCGCCATAAACTTATAAGTTTACGTATTAGAAAGCCAAATAGAAATTTACTATAAGTCTGAAATGCGTCTGACTGCGTGATTGCAGTCTAAGAGTTTTCTTAAATATTCTTATGTTCGCCAAAAATTTTGTTTTCAAAGGTGTAAGATGACGCTGACCAACATCAAAAATTAAAAGCTTTCCCTGTAACTCCTACTAACCTAAGGCATAAATTATGCAGCTGAAAATTCATGGTAATCAGAAAAGAACAATGACTCAACTAAGTGGAACGACGAACATCATAGGAATAAAACTGTTCTCTAAGGACTCACTCAGTCAGTGCTTTTTCTCCAAACCAGTCACCACGTGTCATGTATCGAATAAATTGTTCACTGCATTCATTTCCTCTGTTTTTCGTCACTTTCACCTCAAGAATGAAAACACAGTGATGAATCGAAAGTCAAAGGTAGTGCATTGATTTTCACCGATTACAAGCAAAGCCAGAGTGAAAATTAAGTAAAACAACTGAAACAGTTCAACTAACATTCATCATTTCAGAAGTAACTGAACAAATTCATTTCGAAGACTAGCATTTTGTCGATAAAATCTGGCGAAATCATACATAAACCACCTTTGAATATGGATAACATATATCAAGTCCTAATGGAGACACAGTCAAATTGATTAAAACACTGGAAATCAATCAATCAAATCCTAATTAATCATTTCTATTTCACTGGGATAAGTTGTTCAGTTCCTTAAATACCCTACTAAGTTAATAATAATCCAGTCCACATTGGTGACGTGCCTATAGTTAGGCTAACTGAAGTCTTATTGAGAAGCTATAACCTGTGGAGTTAAGTACACAGAGTATAAGGAGAGATACATATAGAGGAAATTCCATTATGTTCATGCATTAGTAAAAACTGATGTAAGTTGACAAACTAAATTGTGACTCACATAACATGACAGTTGCCAATTTTATGCCACTTCTCTGTCAGTAAAAAATATTTTATGCAGCAACAGTTAATCAGTGTTTTTCCTTCTCTAGGTTAAATTACACTTAATTTCACTCCAATTTAACAGAAGTCACCTCTATGCAGAAGTAAATTTTGATAAACAATTGACAGCTTGAAGATAATCAACTTGTGTATTCCTCACCAGGTTTCAGTATCAGCCACAAACAGTGGAACAATCATTGTGTATCACCAAGGATTGCAGAATTCTTTCTTTTGCTCTGAGGAATCTGAGCAACATGCATCCACGTCACTGAACATAACCTCTTACATGAACAGTATCGAAGTTCGGGGTATAAAACACATGTCTTGTGTGTGTTATTCAGAAGTCCCGAAGTGTGACGCAACATAACAAAAGCAGTGTGTGGTAGCAACCGATCATGAGTGAGGTTCGAAGAAAGCTATATGCTACATGCATGTACTCTGCCTTGTTTATGTCGTGCGGGCGTAATTATGTCTCTCTTAAGGTGACCAAGTGTCATTACGTGGTGACATCCCTAGGTCATCAACGTATAGAAGCCTGCACCGCTCGGTGGAGCGGATTGGTCATTTCAGCTGCTGTTCAGGAAGTCCTGAGATGGTAGAGGCACTGGTGAATACTGGACGAGCCTAGTTACGTACATGACAATGAGCCTCCCCGCATCCCTGCCGGATTCCAACCAATAAACCGTCTATTTGACTTGGCGGTAAACAATGTCGACGAGATCCTAAAGCAATGTTGCTGAAGCAGATCTTCAAACCAGGGACGGACTTGCATAGCATCAGGATTCGGCCCAGCCAATTCGTTCTGGGGAAAGTGTACCAAAAAAGATAAGGGAGTCCAGCTTCTTAATTCCGGAAGTCACTGGTACTGAAGCAATCCTAAGAGAAGTGTTATTGGTTTACCTTGAAAGAGTAAGTGGTATTAGGTCCAGAATGCCGAGTAACGTTTGTCATATCTATGCCGCGAAATAACCAGGAGATACCTAGGAATGACCTTCTGATGACCTAGAAAACAGGGTTTGATTGCTTCAGGGAGGTGTACTGCTCAACTATCTGCAAGACAATGGACTTTCAGTGAGACGTCCCACACACGTCTGCTCACGGAGAGGTGAATACGGTCAATGAGCCTACTACCAGCCAATCGCGGGCACGTTGAAGCTTGAAAGGTGGGAGGATATGACTCACTGACGAAATTAAATTTGCCGGGAGCGTTAACCAAAACGCTTTGCAGAAGTATTCATGTTCATTTGGAGTTGTTATTGATGAATATTTCCTGCTAGGTAAGAGGACTGGTCCCACTTGTTCAAAAGAAATTGACATTCGACCAAACGAATGTCCGGCCTGGAGTTGGGAGCTGGGATGGAAACTGGAGTGAAATTTAGCTAATTAACAATAGTAGTGGGTTATAACAACCAAAAACTTAGTCGTTATATATGTATGTACATATGCGCAGGCCGCATAAAGTTTATACTTTCCTAATGCTTATCTGAGGACTTTTCCATATGGTTGTCTAGAGGAAAATGTAGATGTTCCACAAATTTGATTCTAGAATACATTATCAACTCTAACCACACAGTTTCACTAGGACTTGTTTTCAAAGGTAAACGTTTGTGCAGCAGTGCAATTTACTAACTTGGGCAAGTTGAAGGTACTGGCAGTTCATCAGTTTAAGTCTGTGTGTGTAAAGAGTATTTTTAACCTCTTTCTACAGAAGTCTTCATTTTCACTTTGTTTTTATTTAATCATACTTAAAGAGTTCAATGCATTCAATTTTTTGACCCTTGTTCCTTTCTTTATCACCTTCATAGGTATCTAGAGTTAAGTCAACCAACCTACCTTATACCTAGAAACAGTTTTCACCTTTGAAAATTTCATACTTTTACTATTACTGTCAACATCTTGTAAGGTATTTTACAATCTCTCACCATATCTAAAAACCAAACTGAGCACTTAATTATCCAACAATAAATCACTTTAGAAGGTGATGCGATGATTAGCTATTTTATTTACTGCTATTTATTTATTGGTAAATAAAGTGGTAAGGAGAGGAGTAGTTTGAGTGACGAGATCTTAGTTTGCAATAAAGCCCAGTATAAAAATGGGCAAAACAATTCAAAGTAATTCTCAATCAGGTTACTAAACTTGCAGGCAATGAAATTAGCTATATAAGACCATAGATTTGACTCACAGAATCCACTCTGATGCAGCATGTGTCAACATAATCTGTAGAGCTCAGTGGTTGAATCCCCTCAAACTCTTCGTCTCCGTAACCTGATGCATGAATTTAAGCAGATATCCGTCTTCCTTTGAGTATAGATAAGTTCATTTTCCTGTTATACTCTGTAGTGGACTAATAATTATTTGCATAGTTGAATAAAACATTCTTCTTTCCATCCAAAGGAAACCTAGTTTTTACAGCTTCAAGACTGACTGTTACTGTGGTCGAATATCACTTATTCTGATATCCCTATATTAAAAATCGAAGCTGAATAACTTTTTAACTCTTTTTATTACTAATTAGATTACTGAAAAATACTAGTGAGAAATGTTTCGTCAAGGATAATAATTTCAATCTTATACATGTGGATACTTCAGTTAGAGAAATAGCAAACTCTAGGTAGTTGACAAAGTCTTAGTAGAATTGAGAAATAAAGTTATACCCAGTAGTTCAGTAGTGGATGATAACATTCTGGCCTATAACCATTTAATTTGAGATTCAGCAAACTTCGTTTAGCTGGAGTACCATTTTTTAATCCTCCTTCCATTCTATAAAATGATTTGTTTGGCTTTTCGAATCATTTACTTCTTTCAGATAACATAGGACAGTAAATTTCAGTACAATTTAGCGCAACGGTTGCATGGAAAATCCTGCTTTTTCTGATAAAGATCCTATAATAATATACTAAACAACATATTTTTAAGATACATCTGATATTTAAATTTTACATACCAAACACTAAATTTAATTATCATACAATGAAAATTTTTATTAATCGGAGGGTTTTTAGATTGATATTTATGCTTTAGTCAGAGCATAAAATAATTACACTAGTTACTTTGTCTTTACGAAACATGTGAAACCAGTACTGAATGTCGGTCATTACTGTTTACGAATAAATATACTGATTAGGATGTAAAGCTCACGTTAAGACTGACATTAATAAAATTCGGTCAAGAAAGCACTAAAACATGGATAGAACCAACTAAGTCGAACACTAGGACAGATACTTAGCATTGGATGAACTGACAGAAGTAGGAAGTATTGATCATTGAACTACGACCCAATGGTTCAACGGCAACGCGTTGGCTACGGGTCCCATCCCTTCTAGGGTCATAAGATCGTACTCCTAAGGAGTCCTACGCTAAGGTGTGGCACCTGTTTGGTGTTCTCAGGTTTCCAATGTTTCTCTAACTGATATCAATCCATGAAGAATACCAACCTAAAGTCAATAAACAGCTATTTGTTAAAGTATGTGGTACTTTTCACTAAGGTTAGAATGCATGATTAAGCTCCAGTGTTTTGGAAACCACCATCACATCTATCTAGGAAGTGACGTGAACCACAAAAACCAAGTTTATGCCACCTGAGGATACTCTGAAACTCATGATCACAATGAAGGCATAAGACGCAAAAATAGACCTTAGCTGTATTAAAGTAGTGGGAAAGTGTACCAAAGGGAATAAATGGGAAAATAAGAGAAATAAAAATGATATTTTCACAATAGTAATTTTTTTTCCTGATAGGCATGCATTTTGTATGCCATGCACTATGGATACAGATGACCTTTCTAACTAGCACTACACTGACATCACTTTTAACTCTAGAAATGTTTCCTAGTGAGTGAACAAGCACACATGTTGACAATCTTTTCGACAATCTTGCCTTGTAAAAATCAGTCACCTAAGAATGATGATTTGAGTAAGACTGTGTTTTATCCAAGCTTAATTTGACACACTTATGTCAGGTACACTCCGTTGTTCACATATGAAGAAGGACATGATTGAAAGAATGAGTGGAGTAGACAGAATATCTCATAAGCATATTCAATTCCATGGACTAAATGAAAATGGAAAAAGGAATATAATATCTAGCTCGAATCCATGTTTCGTGTTTGATAATTATGTTAGTTACTCAGATGTAACTTCTGGTTATGGCGTTACTGTACAATTTAGAACCGAATATAGATTCCCGATTAGTTATTTATTCCGATTTTTATTACGATATTTATTATAATGTATAAAAAACTATACATTCGATTTTGTAACAAGATATATCTGTCAGCTACAAAAGAAGAGATTCACTTGTAGTAGGTAAATGTTTAAGTCACTGTCTGAGTGACATTCACTCTTGGAAACCATAATGTTTTAAGGCTACTATGAATCGAACAAGCGGTTTATATCAAAAGTAGATAGCTAAACGAAGTCATATTAACTTGATAAAAGCACACACACACCACGACAAATTTTTACTTTATACATTTTATCCGAAATCTCAAGGTTCATTTATTTAATCCAGTCATCAGACTGAAATATGATTTCTTAATTAAAGATGTTCATTTCTTTTTAAACTGAATATCGATTCGCTGGATTTTATTACCACTAGCAGTAAAGAAACTATAACTGTCTGATTTTACATAAAGAAAAATACTTAGAGATATCAACCTTGTTTTGGCACGTAGCTATCATTCCCACAAGTCTGCTACTTACAATGGTCGCAGAAAAAGTAGCAGATCTCATATGTAATAACAGAACTCAAAATTAAAATTTCTATCTCTCACTAGTCGTCATGAGAAATTCGAATGCTTAGGTCTGAAACAATCTTAACTGCACGAATACCATAGTTTTAAATTACTACAAGTAAATAACAGAAAGGTACCTACTTTTCCCTCCGTGATTATGAAAAATGTATTCCCACGTTCACCTTCTTTTATAACATACTCGTCTGGCTCATAGTGTTCTGCACCAAGAACAACAGCAACTTTGCCAAGAATCTCCAGATTTAGATCCTTGAACGTTGGGACACTAAAACATAAATAAAAAAGTGAATTATGCCGAAGTGCATTTCAATAGTGGCAAATATTGATTGAAATGATGGCCGTTTTTTAATCCTAGAATTTCATGAATAAAGATACTGATTGAAGACACTTTGGAGTATCATATATATATATATATATATATATATATATATATATATATATATATATATATATATAACCTCGCCTGGTTAACTAGTTCACTAGTTACTAGCCGGTCCTAAGCCCGGGTAAACAGGGAAGGTTGGGCATAGGGCTAGCAACCCTACCCCGTAAAACAAATCTAACCGCTAAAGAAACTTCAAAGCACAAACAAAATATAAAAAATGAAAACAAACTTATTCCCCGCTGGAATCGGAGAGGCGAAATGACGCCAGTTGGTGAAAGCCTTCGGGAAGCCAATTGGCCGATGTGTCTTCTCTCTCGATGAAAGCGAAAGTAAACGTGGGGACATGGAATGTCCGCACGATGTTTGAACCCAGTAAGGCAGCCCAGATTGCAAGGGAGATGAGAAGGTATAACATCGAAGTGCTTGGGATTTGCGAAAGCAGATGGAATGGGAGTGGACTCTCCAAACTGTCAACTGGAGAATCAATAATCTACTCCGGTCACCCAGACGCCAACCACGAGCACACTGAGGGAGTGGCTATCATGATGTCCTCAAGAGCATCGAAGGCTCTCATGCAGTGGGAACCAATCTCCTCCAGGATCATGACAGCAAGATTCAACTCAAAAGGAAGAAAGGTCACAATCATACAATGTTATGCACCTACAAATAATGCAGAGCAAGAGAAAAAGGAGGATTTCTACAGACAACTTCAATCAACACTGGACAAGACGTCAGTTGGCGATATCAAAATTCTAATGGGCGACATGAATGCCAAACTGGGAGGGGACAACACAGGAAGAGAACTAACCATGGGTCGAGAGGCGCTAGGTGAAATGAATGAGAATGGAGAATTGTTTGCAGAATTCTGCGCATTCAACGATTTGGTGATTGGAGGCAGTGTGTTCAGGCACAAAGATATCCACAAAGCGACATGGATTTCACCAGACAGGACACACTAAAAATCAAATCGACTTTATCTCAATCTCAAGAAAATGGAGACGCAGTCTACTTAACACAAGGTCAAGAAGAGGAGCAGATGTAGGTTCAGACCACTATCTAGTGCAAGGAACCTTCCAAATCAAGTTAAAAGCCTTCAAGGAAGCTGGTGATAGACCTCAACTCAAGTACAACACTCGGAAACTGAAGGATGAAACTACAAAGGAGATCTTCAAGGCAGCCATCAAGACAAAATGGGAGACATCGAGGAACATCCCTGAAGAAACCTGTGTGGAAGAACACTGGAAGTCTTTGAAAGCTATGTGGAAAGAAACCTGCACAACAGTATTAGGAAGGAAGAAGAAAGAAGACAAGGAATGGATCTCGACAGATACCTGGAAGCTGATAGAGGAGAGAGGAGGATGGTGAAGCAGAAGATAAACCAGTGCAAGGATGCTCAACGACAAGAGGAACTGAGCACAATGTATAAAACACTGGATAAAGAAGTGAAGAAGAGTGCACGCAAAGACAAAAGACACTTCTACGAAACACTGGCAAGTGAAGCAGAACAGGCTGCAGGTAAGAGAGACCTGACGACATTGTATCAAATAACCAGGTTGCTATCAGGGAAGAGACCAACACAGATGAAACCAATAAAAGATGAAGAAGGAAATTTAATTACAAAAGAAGAGAAACAGAGGAAACGATGGGCCGACCACTTCAAGAAGCTCTTGAATCGACCACCACCTGCACTTCGTCCAGAAATACCACCTGCAGCCGCTGAATTACAAGTGAACATTAATCCCCCAACGAAAATGGAAGTCCTGAACGCCATAAAGCTACTGAAAGGTGGGAAAGCAGCAGGACCAGATGGAATACCGCCAGAAGCACTGAGAACAGATGCAGAGACAACAGCGGACATGCTCACACCACTATTGCAGAAGGTGTGGAAGGAAGAGAAGGTACCTGACGATTGGAAGAAGGGTTACCTTGTCAAACTGCCGAAGAAGGGAGACCTCAGTGCTTGCAAGAACTGGCGCGGAATCACTCTCCTGTCCACCCCAAGTAAAATATTAAGCCGCATCATCCTGGAGAGGCTAAGGGATGCACTGGATTCAAAACTACGACCGGAACAGGCAGGCTTCAGGAAGTACAAATCATGTGCAGACCAAATTGCAACGCTTCGCATCATCATAGAACAGAGCATAGAATGGCAATCACCTCTCCACCTCAACTTCATCGACTTTGAGAAGGCCTTTGACAGCGTCGACCGAGAAGTAATTTGGAAACTGCTTCAATACTACGGAGTACCGCAAACCTTTATCCGCCTCATTCAACAACTATATGAAGATGCCACATGCCAAGTAATCCACAATGGGAAGCTCAGTGATGCCTTTGAAGTGAAGACAGGAGTGAAACAAGGTTGCCTACTATCCCCCATGATATTCTTGATTGTGGTGGACTGGATCATGCAGCAAACAGTAGGCAGCGAGAAGAGGGGGATACACTGGACGACGGAAAAGAACCTAGAAGACTTGGATTTCGCCGATGACTTATGCCTAATGTCACATAAACTTGAAGATCTGCAGGCAAAAACTAACAAGTTGACAGAAGAGGCAGGCAGCGAAGACGGGACTTCAGGTGAATATAGAGAAGACAGAAGTGATGAAGATACCACACCACCACCATCAACAACAACAACAACAAACTCCAATCACCGTCAACGGGAGAAACTTAAAGGAAGTAACCTCCTTCACTTATCTAGGAAGCACTGTTTCAACTACAGGCGGGACGGACGAGGACGTCAAAGTCAGAATCGGAAAAGCAAGACAGGCGTTCATTAGCCTGAAACCAGTGTGGAGATCTTCTGCACTCAGCATGCGGAACAAGATACGGATTTTCAACACCAACGTCAAGTCAGTGCTCTTGTATGGCTCAGAGACTTGGCGCGTCACGAAAGGGATTTCCAATAAACTACAGACATTCATCAACAACTGCTTACGCTCGCTGCTGAAGATCAGATGGCCAGAAAAAATAAGCAACAAGGAACTCTGGGAACGAACCAACCAAGAACCTATCACGCAACAAATATGCAGGAAGAAGTGGAGATGGATTGGCCATGCACTGAGAAGGCCGACGGAGGACATCACGCGTCAGGCCAGTCGCTCGAGTGGAATCCCCATGGGAAGCGACGAGTTGGACGTCCGAGGGTGACATGGAGGAGGTCGTGCGAGCAGGAAATGAGAGCTTCTGGGCTGTCGTGGGACCAGGTTCAAAAGATCTCAGAGAACAGAGGTCACTGGAGGCGTGCTACTGAAGCCCTATGTTCCACTAGGAACCCAAGGGACTAATAATAATATTATATATATATATATATATATATATATATGTATATATATATAGGAGCGATCTCAGGCATGACAAAAAGTTTAAGAATTTTCCAAAGTCAGAAAGTTATCGTACATTTTTAATAAGTTTCTTTCTCTCTCAGTAATAGCTAAATTGCTTGTCTTAGCTCGACAATCTAAATTTCTTCTAATAAAAGCTTTCTACTTCATTCAGTGAGTTATGTTACACACTGCTGCAAGAGATAAAAATACTTGTAATAATGTTGATAAGCTGAATCGATCACTCACACCTCAGCTGCTGAGTACAAACAAATGTTTAAGTGGAACACCATCACTTTCATCTCTGACGATAAACAGTAGGCGAGGACGTATGTAAACCCAATGTGATACGATATTGTTCTGTTTATGAGTTACGCTTATAATAACCCATACAGTCTTCATTATTTCATCAAGCAACCTCTCCAAGAAATCCAGGACACGCATTTCGTCCTATTTGAGACTCGTCAGGTGGATGTGCCTGCACCCCAGTGAGTGAAGGTGTTCTCACCTAGATTCGAACATCCTACTCATCGCTTCAAACACCGAGGCGTTATCCACTAGGCCACGGAGGCTCGATAGCCACCTCTTGTACAGCGGGTAATAGTTAATACTATTTGTTGGTATACTTGTAATTCTCCGTTTTAAATTACCATAATTAACATCCAGGTAATATCGAGGAATCCGCATAGGAGCCCATATACCAATAAAGGTTGAACAATTCAATCCAGAGCTACAAGTTTATCAACAAATATTTATAACCTTTAAGGTTGAAAATCTTCGGGGAATCGATATCACTATTTCAACGAGAACTTATAAATCCGTACTTTTTTATTAAAAGAAATGTATCTAGTCATTTGCGAAATAGTTTGTAACAACTAATTACGAAACTGTACTAGAATCTACTAAACAACGTAATCGAATTCGGTATTTTGAATTATGAAACAATGAAGCTTCCTTTTTGTCAGTCAGTTATCGGACATGAAAATCAGTACCGCTGACTACTTAGTACAAAGAATGAAAGTATATTCTAAACTTGGTTAGTATTGGATACAAGTGAGCAACTATGATATAATGATATAATAATAGCCAAGCTGTCTAAAACCAACAGAAACAAACTGCTAATCTCCAAGACTAAAAGTCTGGCATAGTATATAGGCAAATGATTGAAGATTTCAGAACCCGCTGCTTTGCTTTTCATTTAGTTGTTCTGAAACCTCCATTTTTTTCCGCTACGTCGACCATAATAGTAAGCTCAAGAACACAACTGATTAACACATGTAATCTGTGTGTTAGGGACCGGAATCAATCATATCTCACAGACTTACTTAAGTGTTGATATTTTATAAATGATACTTAACTCTCAGGATCACTATATTCACATCTCTTCTTCTTTGCAACGGAGTTCATGTTTCAGAACTTGGAATTCACAAGCAGTCCTAACATTCTCGACTGTTAAAATCTGTGGTCAACGTTTGCAGTGTAAAACAGAACTCATCACTTATTAGTACATTCGGGGTCTAAAAGATCACTAAACTTACCACCTAAACCGCAAGTAATGTAATTTTATGAAAGTTCAGTTAGGTTTAACTATTCCAACCAACTGTTATCAACGTAAAGATGTAACCATTTTCTTACAAGTAATGAACAGCCGAAATATTATGGGTGATCCATGTCCATCTAAAGTTTTGCACGAACGTTTGCATATTCAAATAGGCCTTACGTGGAGCGAATCTTTTGTATGATATGGAAGGAAATGAAGGCTCTAGATTTAACTAGGATTTTCTGTGGTTATGGTTAAATTTAATATTCTTGTCTCAAGGCCTAAGATAAAAGTATCATTACAATAAACTTTTTTACGTTTACTTGTCCTACTTAGTTGAAATTTTAAAGATAAACAAGGATATTTCTTGAATCATTAGTAACCGCAAAATATTTTCAACGTTTAAAGATATTTTGTCACGTACTTAAATGCCGATAGGTTAGTCAACATCTCCTTAACTGTTTTAGTTCCTTTGTCGACAGGATAGACTAGTTTAGTTTACTATCAATAAGCTGTTGACAATTTATGAACAAGAAAAACCAAAACCAGCTTCAATTTCATATCAGAGATAGTTTTCTATAATTCCGTACTATTTATTTTTGTCGTTTTTCGATCTTTTAGCAACCTCAAGTATTTTTTACAAAACTAACGAATATATAAATGATTACTTAGACCCAGATTACGCTGCCTTCGTTTCTCATTTGAAGCTTTAGACTAAGTGGTGCTGCCTAAACATTACTCTTTTTCTACTTTTAACGAGGTATTCCGTATTGTCATACAAATCACGGTCAGTTAACTTACAGAATTAGTGCCATTACAATATAGCGTATCTGACTGGCAATGAGCATAACAGAGTTTCTCGGGAATAAAATTTACACTGCCACTTTTGTTAACTTGATAAATTTAAAAAGAGCTTCTGTTAAAGAAGAGTAAGCGAATTGGTAAGGAGTAACAAAAGAACCAGGGTATTGTGCAATGAGCTTTATATCTTTATTTAAATCTGCAAGTGTTGATGATGATCAGTAATAATATGGTAAACGTGTTTCGCTCGAAAAAATCATTAATCTCTTCGCTATTTGCAAATGAAGGCGTGAAAACTAATTTAATCAGTTAATCATACATTTATATATTGATTAGGTGTAAAAATAAGCAGTAAATTTCCATCGTTTTGCAGAAAAAGGATTTCGTCAAAATACTATTATGATATCTAGTGAAAGGATGCAAATAGACTTATAATTGACTATTCGTTCATTACCTTTTCAGAAATTTTACGTATTCGGTTTGTTTTTGTATGCCTGTAAACATCATAATTGACTGGAAGCATGGACGATCTATAGCCCATAATTTACAATCAGTGATGGCTGTAAACAATTCAAAAAAATGATAAACAATGATGAAAATTACAAACATTGCTTGTTGCCACTCAAAAACTGTCTTTAGCTAATGTATACTGTTTGTAAATAGTGATAACATTATCATATTAAATGTCAGAGAAGAATGGCTGAATAAGCAACCAACTCACTATGGATGATGCGGCTATAAATCATACTTGAAGATGATGACGATAATGGAATAAATACGACAGACAAATACCACTAAACTAGTAACATAATCACGTAATTTGTGTTATTTTCGCAGCTTTTTATTGTTAGTCTGCAAAGATTTCAAACTCACTGAATTTCGCATAAGTACCAGCCAATCATTTTATTTCAGAAGAACTGGATCAACATTTCTAATGGTAGTGAAGTGAAGAGATTACTGGATTAAGAACCTGTTTTGCAGTGGAGTAGGATTACGTTACTTAATTTCAACACTTCACTCTCAACAATCATGTGTTCAAGTTTTTAAGATGTTTATCAGGTTTGTCATTCACTCTCAACTACCTCGTTAAAATTGAGGACTAGATGGTTCAAAAGAAAGCTTACTTTCCCATTGTTTCACCCCCTTAAAAGTGGTTCTAGGATGTTTTAAACAGATTTCATGAACTTTCAGTAAAAACTGTGGCAGAAAGGTCCTTTCCATTGTATTTGCATTTCTTTAATCTTGAAAAGCTAATATTTATTTACAATGAAATGAGAGAAGCTAAGTATAACTTTATTTGAAGAACTCATATTTTGAATTTCGGTGCTAACCAATTTGTTCACTAATAGTTCATATCTAAAAATACCATGTCAGAATTGATTGGCATTAAATCCAAACGATGAATTTGATCATTGCATGAACTGTGTCTTGCAAACATATTATAATATTAATATATACATTGAAAATAAATTTCTGCAGATGCTAATCATGGTGAATTACATGAATCACCTTAACTTCGTACACCTTATGTAGATAACACTGTCTGGTACCAAGTCTTAAGATACATGTCATATTTCTGCCATTTCTTCTGTACCAACTATTAATAGCCAGTTAAAGATTTTAGAAAGTAGCTACACTCTAACTTGTTACTGCCTTTCTAACAGAAGAATTTTTCTTTAAGTTAACCCTCAAATTTGTAAACTGTCGTCAAACTACATCTAATCACATGTGTTACATTTACTGAAAATAGGGTTGGATGATCTGCAAACATGTTTTGTCGAGTTTTGTGGGTACTAGTGTGCATAGTAACACATTAAGCTGATTGCAGCTATTAAAAATCTCAGTTCTGTAACCTCAGTTATCTGAATATTGTTTGACAGCTTTGTTGCTAACTTTTCCTAAGTGTCAAAGGGTCCAAGATGAAACAGTGTAGTAATCAACAGTTTCTTCCATATCCAAAGGAATAAGTTGAAATTTTGAGTCTTAGTATATCTATTATATTCACATAAATTCATAAAAATAGTATTCTTTGGTCAAAAATGAAGGTATTAGGGTTATTTATCACGGCAAAGGTGTACTATGATTGCGAACAAATATTTCTAAGAAATAAAAATTGAGACAGTCGGCTTATCAACTAAAAACAAAATAACCTTATTATTCTACTTACTGTAATGTTGCAGATCACAATATACTTTGTCATTTGCCTACTGGCAGTGAAATTATAAACTCGGAGAAAGATTCGTTTGTACATCTCGGCTTACATAAAGTCGTATCTATGGCTTAAAAGACATTACGTACAAACGGCAAATATAAAGCTTCGAGGATAGCAACCAGATAGATTACAACTTGAATGCAGCAAAAGCAACAACTGAAGCAGAATAATGTGAACTAATCTTTATTGCTCATATTCATTTGTAATAATCAAAATCACGCTTTTAATATACTGAATCTTCTTGGTACATTACATTCTGATATAATACTTGCAATACTGCACACACAAGATGAAGTTTCATTTTCGATAACCTGATATCTGGTGTGACATGAATAGCAAGTTCCAAAGATGTATTCATCATAGTGAAAAATGCATATAAAGTACTTTTTTTGACGATTACAAATGACCAGTGTGTCGTCAAAGCATCCGACGTAAAACACTGTTTTATTAATTCTAAGTCTTGTTTTCATCTAATCTAGATGATTCGTTAAAATTTCAGCCAGGATTGAACTCAACAGGCCACCTATAATGACCCTGTCAATTTGACACTATAAGACATTTTTGTACTGAAAATGCATATCTCCAGTGGACAATAGTAAAGTCTGTTTGAATTCATCATCAGATAAAAGAAGAATGTCAGAGCACTGACCTACATCTGCTATGGGTTTTCAGTTGGAATCTTTGTAAATGAAGACGGAACTTCAAATGGAAGTATAAGTTGATGAGAAATATTTATGTCTTCCACTTGGACACACTTAAAGGCAGCCTTTTAATCACAGGTAGCTTACTTAACACGAATTAGTTCCAGGCGTCTCACTAATCAGTGTGTAGCTTTATTAAATGATGACTGACCATAAACAGAACTTGTTTCACGGGAATCTAGATACTTCAGGTTGCAGTTCATCGCGGATGGTATTTCGAAGTAATTTTCTATCATTTATTATTATTTAATTTATTCATAACTTGCCTTTACGTTGATTCAGGTATTCCTTTCTTCTAATGTAAATTAAGACTTAGAGTAGATTTCCTTTAAAATTTAAAATCTTCTGTCATACAAGCTCCAAAAGAAATTAAACATAACTCTATTCGGCCGTACCAGAAAACTGTGTTCGAAGGAGTAACTTGATAAATATTGAAGTTCGTATAGCTAGCTAAATAATCTATGGTTTTATTTTCAGTACCTTTTTAGTTGCTGTTTGCATTCACTTGTTATTCTTTTTCAAGAAACCTCCCCTAGTTACCCAACAAATATTAGACATTCTTAGAATTCCTCACAGTCCGTTCCTCAGCAACTGACCCATGTAATTCAGAATCTTTCTACTCTTGTTTCCATCAGTACTTTCTCGTCAAGTCGATAAATATTTTACTGTAACGCATATATTTTGGTATTGTGTGACTTGCAAGCACTTACGGCACTTCTGTGAAATAAAAATGAGCTCATATTATTCTTTCTGCATCCAAGTTTGTAAATGAGAGGTACACGTGATGTTAGCCCACCACGTTCAGGTTTCTAAAAAAAATATTCCAACGTATGGTACGATAGTTTAGTCTTAACTTTTTCAAGAAAAAACGCAAAATTAAAATCCTAATGATAATAATAAACCATGATATGAAAGCTGGTATTGTTGAAAAGTTAGGTAACTGAAGCTGAAACTTGGGTTGCAGCAGGATTCGCAGCAGCAGTCTTGGAATCGCATACCACGATTCCTTCTAAATGACCTGCGGGACTCATTCACTGAAAGCTTTTCATGGTTGTTACGTAACTGCTTAATGCGTGAGGTTAAAAAGTGTATCTTATTCCTTCATTCCATCCTGCTGGTATAACAGTTATTTTCAAATGTGATCATTAATCGCTCAGCAGAGAAGTGAATACATTTTGTAAGCAATACGTGTTGTTATTCACATCCTGCTTCACTGAAATACAAGACGAAACAATACAGGTCTTATTTTAATCACTTTATAATAAGATGCTTCTCACAACATCTGGCAGATGAATGTCAGAATGAGGAAGCATAGATTCTAAAGCTTGCTCGAAACGTCAAGTAAATAATATCAGATCACTGCGTGTTATAAAACAAATAAACAAATCTAATATAGCATTGAAAACCTCAGCAAACGTTAGGAATCCTAAAAAACAAATAGGCGAATGCATTGCATTTATTAGAAATAGGACTGAGAATCAATGCTCTTGCATTGGTTTCAATTAAAACGTTTTTAGTTATATCAAGAATCCCGAGGCCTTGCACATGATCAAATTCAAATACTCTCGACGTACGAAAGAGAGTGCAACTAGCTGTGTTTTCATAACCATCAACTGACTAGTAGAAACAGTGACTCCACTTTCATTATCTTCGCATGAACAATAACCAACAATCAAGACTGATTTGATGTACTTTTTTCATTATTAAAACTAGTGATGTATCTTAATATTATTGATGGGTAGTGGGTAGTGAGTAATTAGCGAGTTTTAATCTATCTTCCCACGAATTAGATCCAAACACAATGCATTATTTCAGCAGTGGTTTGTGTCCATGATGACACACGACGCTTTATCTTTGCTTCCCCATTTTTTCAACGTGATAGATATTTTCCTTTAAAATATTATATAGATTTTTAAGTTGCCTCTTTGTACGTGACAAACCATTAAACTGAGGGAATCTGAATCTTTTATTCCATGAACTAAATCAGCAAGGCTCATGATAAATGATTTTTACTAATAATTCAATAAATTTATAAAGTATTCAATAGGTATGAAGTATGATATAGAAACATACCCCTAACACTTGCCGTTCTTGTACAGTTGTATAGGATAGCCAATTCACCGAAAACCGTTCCAGGACCCATTTCACGCAAACGCTCACCAGCTTTTAGTACCTCTACATAACCGTCTAATATGCAAGAGAATAAAGGTTATCTTCCAGTGAGGAAAAAATAGTGAATATATTTAAATATTTTCCAGATTTAGATGTAAAATATAAAGCATTCTTTAGAAAACTAAGAAAATTGTTAGTGTTGGAGTTGATAGTAAAATCTTGTTAGTATAAGGTTGTTCTAACTAGAATGGTTGAACTGGGAATTGATAATTTAATATTAAGAGGATTAGAATTTCTCTGTGCATTTGGGCTCCTTATATCTATTTATTTTCAGCTTTAACTGGTAATATGTAAAATATTAAATCATATTTTTCTCTTCTAATGGTAAGAAGGCTTAAAAAGCATGGAAGAATATTCAAAACTCAAGGTATAGGTGAATGCGAACAACATGACTCCATCAACAATATAAGTTTTACAAAGTAATGGATTCTGTAATGGAACACACAAGCATATTGAAGACGATATGATCGGAGAATCTGAGTTTTTATCCTTTCATTCAATTTGTGGAAAACATTATACAGTCTACTGTAAACAAATAGATCCCTTTACTTCACGTCACATTTATTTTAAGTTTTTGGAATAAAACATGAGTTTTGATAGCTTATTTAAAATGACAGCATGTATCACGAGGTGAATATTAGCAATGCTATCAACAACATGATTAAATCTAAGAGGTTGAATGAGTGGACAGGGATGTCACGATAGTTTTAGGAAGCAACCAGTCAAAATAATTGATTTTACAGCCTTTTTGTATATTTCTAAGCAGCCTGAGCTCGAAACATCATATAACTTTTTCAGATGGTTAACTTCTGAATTTTTGCTTGGGAATTAATAATTAGTTAGTTGCATCTTAATAACATACTAACGTTTTTCAACGTCTCCAACCAAGATTTGGTCAAGTTGTGGGCGCACGTATCCCAGATAATTCAGAAACATAAGATCATTTGTAAACTAGAGTACAGACAAAAATATCACAATGTATTTGATTAACGTAGAAATATACCTTATACCTTTAAAACTATTCTCGGAATTACCTCCTTCTGGAAAGGTCACATTTTTGATAATGTTTCCAAAGCATTTCTGGAAACATGCTTCTGTAACTAACGCAGGTATTACCTGCTATTTTACACCTGTGCTTTCAACAACCGTCAACCAGCTGTTTGTTTCATTTTTATTTTGTGACTACAAAGAACTGCATATAAAAATGTTTGTGCGTCCCTCAAGTTGGAACTAACCAAAATCATACTCGCTTCCCAATCTAACACAAGGTTATTGACTATGCAGTGAATACGGTTATGAAGACGGTTTTCAATGTTTTCTAAGACAGCTGTTTTTACTTTGTGTTCTTTGCATTTTTAGAAAGCTGACACTTCCAGAGCAGTTTTCATAGACCATGAAGATCGTTATTCTTCATGTTTCAAGGTTCTATCAACAGTGTGGACTATAACTTTGTGGCGTTTCTCAATGAATTGCGAGAAATGAGACACAGTTCATTACTTGGCTACACCTTTATTCTGTAGCTTGATCATATCCAGAAAAAAACATTTTATCGACGCAGTCATTTTTCATTATTAAATGAGCTTAAACCATAAGCTATGTGTTTTAATTAAAAATGCAAAGTTGTTGTTTAGTTTGTTTTTTGTAATATATTTCCATGAAGTAAATTATAATTGATGGACTGGTTTTGGATTTTATTAAAAATCTTGAGATCATTTTCATAAGGTTTATTTGATAAAGCCTATACTAAGGTGTACTGTCCTTGAGTACTTCTTTGTTTCATCCATGAAAGCAGGAACGCAGAATTAGGTTAGAATCAATATAATATCATACAGTGAAACGAAAACATTCATGGAAGCGGCTTTTAGAAGTAGTGGAAACTCTAGCCTTAGAAGTAGATGACAACCTGTCTTTGCCATGACACAAGACTAGAAGTAACTGCAAAATCCAATGTACTTTTAACTTACCCTTTAGGTTTAATATCCAAATCTACAGACCGACAGACGGCGTGACAATGATATCTCTTATGGGACCCCTTCTAGCTGACTGCTTTGTGGTTGGCTTGGAAAACCCAACCTTTGAAAAAGAATCAGCTTTATATCGACAAAAGACATAGATGATATTTTTTTATTCGTGAAAGGAACAAGAACCTCAAAAACCTGCCTCAAACTTTCATTAGTGCTTATTCCTTTGCCAAATTTACTCTGGAAGCTGAGTTAGACTCGAAATTTCACTTCCTTGATATCAGTCTTCAAAGAATAGATAATAATTTAGTCCATAGATCTATTTACAGAAAGACCATTTGAAACGGGCATTTTGTTAATTTTCAGGGTTGTGTCCCCTTAAACAGGAAAAAGTTATCAGTTTGCTCTCCTTAATAATGTGAAGAATATGTACGGAGGATACCATTGGAGGTGAATTAGAAACTTACAAGAAACCCTGGTGAAAAGCGGATACCCATTGAAATCTGTGGGTAAGAATTTAAAACCGAAAATCACCACGAAACGCGTGCAAACTGCTCTGAAAAAGATTCAGTTGTTGAAAGTTGAATTCAAGGGAGATAATGTGGCAGACATACTCAGAAAGGGACTATCAAGATCCACGAATACAGCGGCCTATGCCACCAATCTTAGAATCAAATTTTCCTGTCAGAAACTCACTAACCGGTATGCAAAGGATAAGCTAGAGCATTGGACTACATCACTGTGTGTATATCAGTTTACTTGCTCCTGTGGCAGGGTTATGGTTGCATGTCGCTAAGGGATCCCACACTAGGACGTAACAACTGTCCAGTTCTTCTAGATTTTTAATAGTTCCTCAACTGATATCAATCCACGACGAATGCTACCTTGAAATCATATTTCATCGAACTTTATTGACTAATGACAACATTTCAGCAAGGCGTTGAATGAGAACTTTGACAAACACAATTATGTTTACATGTGCTAGTCAGAAGATGTAACTGCTGGTAATCAACTTTTGATTTCATTCAGTCTTAATCAACGAAAATCTGAATGTGTGTACACGACCGTACGTATTCAACGAACACCGTAAAGTGATAATGACTCCTGTATGAAAACCAAAAGAATATTTAAACATACTTCTTCTGTTTCAGACTAGAATGGATAATTTTCTAAGCTACTCGTATGAAAAGTAATTTAGTTACTAGAGTGATTTCCAGCAAATCGTGCATACAAGGTGGCCTATGAAGTGGGTTTGATAATTACCTTGACTTTCTAACGTAGTATCATTTCAAGCGCTGCAATTTATAACATCTGTCTATTTCATTAGTCTTTTTCAGCTCAGTGGGTTTCATTTATGGCATTGGATTTTGACTATACATGAAATTGATTGTTTCTCCATCATATGAAATTGCTGCATATCGCAGTCTGAGAGTCTGATATGATTTTTGTGTTTGTGATTGAGATGATTGACGAAACTGACTTGGTCTTTCATTCAACTTTACAAAACACTTGGGCATCATCAGAATGAAGGAAAGAAGTTCCTGGCGTATCCATATCATTTTGAACAAACATTTCTATGAAAATTTTTTCTAACATGAACCTTAAATGATTTTGAAAACATTGATTAATTACTAGGGCTGCTTATGACTCAAGATAAAAGCTAAAAAGTATCAAGATTAAAGTATCAAGTTAAATGCATCTTGAAACCACTCACATTTCAACAATCAAGCTAAAACTTGGTAGTTATTTATTGTCTACCCATTACATAACGGCCATGAATATTTATGAAGATAAACCATGCAGTAATAGCAGAATAAAAGCTCAAGAATCCATTTTCACATTAAATGCATTATTCCTTACCGCCATGCATTTTAAAGTGTGCAAGTCTTGTGAAAACAGGATACTGCCAACTAAAGTGACCGTCAATACTTAATCAAGTAAGCAGTGAATTTCAATAGATAAATGCAATATCAACTGAAAGTTCGATAGCCAAAAAGAGATTATTTCTAAGAAATGATACAAATCTTGAGCAACAAGACATATCCCATTAGAAGAATTCATGAATTTCCACTCAATGCTTTCTAGCATTCAACATTAAAAAAATAAGACCGAAACGTTTCCAAATCAGTTCTCAAATATGTGTCCATCACATATAAAATTATTTTATCAATCAAACAAATGACCTACACAATAACATTTGTGTTTGAACACTTTTACCTGACAAAATTCTTCATATCAGCCACCCATTCAGTTGTCACAGTCAACTCAAAGACATTTCAAATGAAGCAATAATTTTTGCTCTTGAATAAAACTGATCAAATTTCAAGGCAATTCATATACATAGAAGTATAGCAAAAAGCCCTTCTATAAGATAATCAGTTTTCTGAATTTTTTCTTTAATTTGACTGCTTTCCTAATGTTATAAAGTTTTCCTTTCAATTTTTCCTAATCCATGCGCATAGCTGAGAGATCATACTGCTTGATTTTCTTTTAAACAGTAGCGTGATGTAAACATCCTTCGTCGGGGCAGAAGATGTCTTTATGGTGAGAACTAATTAGTATTCTGTCCCCTTATATAAGGGGGAATCAAACAATATGATCTGAAGACGAAGAAGGAATGCAGTTGTTAAAAAGACATACTGCGCAGCCAAAACCAATATTATCAATAAAACGAAACCTATGCTTCAAAATAAAACTCATCATCTCAGAGAAGATTACGTCAGATCCCGCTGTCTTCCCTATTTATATATGTGTGTGTTGGAGCACATCAAGAGGGGTAATCCAACTATGAAGTCGAGGGTGGTTGAGCTGTTCCCTAAATGGTCGGAAAACAATTACATTCAAATAATCCGATAAATAAAGGGAGCAGATAGACGTCATCTTCGACAGGTAAACACATAGAAACAAGTCACAGGATTAACCTCAAAACAGCCTTTAGATAATCGAACAACAGCCGTCAAGACCGTATACTTATCTATATGAAAGTTCAAACTTTCATTGTGTATTCAGAAACAGTTTGTCCTTACTTTAAACTTACCTTGGTAATCTTCATCT